GGGCCTGGGTTGTGGCTCTCGTCCTGCTCTCTTCTTCCTTCCTCCCTCCTTCCCCCTCCCTTCCTTCCTTCCTCCCTCCCCCCCTTCCTTCCTTCCTCCCTCCCTCCCTCCCTTCCTCCCTTCCTCTCTTCCTCCCTTTCCCATCTTTGCCTAATTTCATCTAGTACTCTGAGTGACCCATATCATCGGGGCGGCTCAAGATCATCGATACCAACATTAGTTATTTTACTATAATGATATTAGCATCTACTGAAACATACTTTATCCCTATCCAAATTGATTTGGACTCCTGAGCTTTAAATTTCTTTCTCTGCTTGACCGCTTCTCCTTCCTCATTGTCACAGATTGTCAGCTATCACTTCTGCGGCTTTCATGTGCCTAGAGAATCTTCATCCTTCTTTCTTTGTAATTTCCTTCCTCTGATCTGTTTTGATCCAGAAAACTTATAACCAAGGGAGTAAGAATGGCATGTAAATTTGGAACAGATGGAGAACCTGAGTAGCTAACTAAGGCTTATTTTTTTTTAAGTAAGGTACACTGGATTTGTGCCACTTACACCAATGCTCTTTCTTTTTTTTTTTTCTTTGAGATAAATGACACTATGTGATGTTAGTGTATCTAATTTCCAAAGGAAACTGTAGGACTAAAAATTTCTGTGTTCTCAGTTGAAGAAACTGTCCATTTTCCATAGAATAATTTTCTGGATTTGTCAGCTCTTTTTGCAAGTGCTAGCTACATACGCACAGTGTCCCTTTTTATTTATGTAGATGTATCCAATATGTCCTTTTGTAGATATCTTAGTATTACATAATCAATCTGTTCTGTGACCAGTAGAGCTGTTAGTATAAGACCTGAAAATAAATTTTACCGCAATAGTCACAAATTCTATGATCTTTCCTAGTTTAATGCTCAAATAATGTGACTGGTTAAAAAAAAAAAAAGTGACAGAGGCATTGCTGGTATCATTTGGAGTGTTATGTCTGGGATAACCTGAATTCAGCTTTATAACTTCAACAGTAAGTTTAGCATTCTCTGGCTCTTCTTGCACCTGAAATACTTTTCCAATTTAAACTTTACACTAAGATCCTGTTTAATTTATCTCTTGGTATAAATGTATTACGTGATGATTGCTGAGGAACAAACACTATTAAAATGGACCCCTAGACATTAAGTTAAATGATCCCATTCCCATATCATTCTTCTATCTTTGTGTCATCTTTTTTAATCCAAGCCTCAGCAAATACATCTTTGCTAGGAGATGATTGTAGCTCAGAGATTGTTATTTAGAAGATTTTGTTTTGCTGTAGTGCTTGGAGACGTGTTTTCAAAAGGAGCGGTGTTCTTCCTCATTTGAAGGGGATAGGAACTGCTCCCCCACTTACCACATAACTCAAGTAAAATGTGCTTAGGGATAAAGTCAGTAGATGTGTTCAGTCCTTAATATGCTCGACCATTCTATAGCATTCAATACCAATTATGTCCTTGCAACACTGCCAACCATCATGCTTTAAGTCACTTCTGCATCTCTTGGTTTCTGTAATATCATGCTCTCCTGCTTTCTCTTTGCCCTCTAGAATCTGTTATCTTGCCAGTGCCTACCCCTTAAATTAAGATTCCTAAGGTTTCTGTTCCAGTTGTTCTCCTCTCCCAATAAAGAGTCTCCTGACTTTAATCGCCAGTATGTGCTGATAATTTATAATTCTACGTCTGTAGCCCAGAATGCTTTCCTGAAAGTAAGCTCTGTATACCAGCTGCCCGCCAGATATGTCTACTCCATAATTCTGTGGGTTTTGATATGTGACACTTCTTTTACTGTCCACAGGCAACAGGTCCTCAGGGTTCACTAAAGGAAGGTGCCAAAGGCTCTCTTCAGAAAAGCTTTGGGATTCTTAATGAAGCCAAGAAGTTAGCAAATGCTGTAAAAGGTTAGTGTGACCTCTCTTTGTTATTATTTTCAGGCTAATCATAGTTCTATTTGCTAGGATATTTTATTACACTATTGGAAAAGTGGAATTGTTTCACTAGAGTTTTTATGATGGTTTTTATTATTGGGATTTAATGCAAGTAAACTATCTCACCAGTTTTATGACATTTTATCATCACATCTCATTTTGCATTGGGTAATATTTCGTAATTTTTAGACCTAATTTATATATCATTTCACTTATATCTAAAGTACAGTGACTTGTAAATTAAAGTATAACAAGTTTTTAAGAGTACCAAGCCCCACTTGTTTTGGCTTCAGAAATGACAGTCACAAAGGAATGAATTAGGCAGATGTAGTATAAATGTCCTTACAAAATTTTCAATTTGTTAGTGGTCACATTTCCTGAAAAGTTTTCACACTTTTTAAATACATTTTTCTTGTATTTTCTTCCTAATTCAATCATCAAAGTGCATAAAATATCTACTCTAATCCATTAGGGGGTTTTGCATTAAAAATGTATTACTCAATATAGCTGCTCTCTAGGTAAGCTATCATATTTATTATTTCATTCAAATATCTCCTGTTTCTCTCTGCAGCCTCATTCCTTGCCATTTTCTGGCTTGCATCCATCTCCCCAACTTCCTGAAATATTCATGGTCCTTCCAAAACATACTACTATTCCAAGCCTCCGTATTTCAGAGTGTTAATCCTTCTCTTTGGAATGCCTCTCCATCTTTCATTCTTTTTCATATAATTACCTTTTACCAGACCTTCAAGATTAAGCTCAGATGTCATCTGCCCCAGGAACCTCGACACCCCATCTGAACCACATGCCCCTTCTCACTGCGTACCTTTCTCATAGACTTGTCAAACTGCAACCATGTACTTGGAGTCCATCTTCTTGAGGACGGACACGGGATCTTCTTTTTAGCGTTGTTTTTCTAGTGTATAATATCACAGGGACTAGCTCAAATCAGGAAATAAGCATATTTTTGAGAAGAACGGAATGGTATTGGTCTTTACTAACCTTAGAAAGAGAAGAGGTTTTATAAGCATTTATATTTGTCATGCTTTAACTAATTGTCCGTGGTCTCTAACAGAGGCTGATAGGAGATTACAACTTCTGGTGTCCGTGTGATGGTATTTTGAGAGCAAAATGCTTTGGACTGTGTGTCACGGGTGGAAAACAAAAAACCCTGTACACATGATTTTGTGCAGGAGCTTGCTCTTATTCTAACCTCAAGAGTAACTGTAGAGTCAAAACCTATTTTCCTCTTGGGCAAGTTGAGTTGATCTCATTACTTTGTGGCCACTCCTTCCCATCCAGTGCCTTTGCCCAGCGTTAGGAAGGATTAAGGTGAGGTGAGTGAGGTTAGGTCGTGCAAGTAAGTGTAGGGTGACGTCCTGTATTATTTAAAAGTTTAATATTTTGTTCATCATTGATCTTTTTTGAATCCATTTTAATCTTTTTAAATACTGCATTAAAATATTTTTGATTACTGAGTGTTTTGGTGTCCCTTTAAATTTTATACCTGAGGTGAATGCCTGAGTCACCTGCCCTCACTCCCTGCTCTGCCCTCACCTCTATTTCCCCCAAAATACTGGCATTATAAAAATAAAGAAAGAATTCCATTTTCAGAGATTTTTTTTTCCAAGAAAAAAAGAAATCTGAAGACAGGCCTGGTGGAAAGGGTTAGGAGACAGAAATGTTCATTAGTTTAAATGTCTTTTTTTTGTACTTCAGGTAGTACATTATTTAAAGTAATGAAAACCCACAAACTACTCAAGTAATAATTTCTCCAAAAATCCAAGCCAAGGCTCTGACGGAGATGGGAATGTTTTCTTGCTACATTATGACATTCCCCTGATTTGTGGCCAATTACACAAGTTATAAAATGGCTGTTAATCAGGGAAATGCCATATATTACCACCAGGAACTGCTGAAATAGGCCCTACAGAGCAAAACTCTTGACAGCAGCTATTAAAATAGAGATTTAGTCATTTCCCTTTCTCTGGTGCCTGGAGTTAGAAGGAATAAAAATGGTGAGGCCAGTCTACCCTCCATATTTCTAATTTGTTACTTGGTTCAATTCAGTATAGTCCGGTGAGTTCATGCTTTAGTCACGAATGACTTAGTGCTGCTCCCTGCCATTTTTATGCTGTCCTTGCCTTGAGGGAGTCTGAACTTGCCAGGAGCAATTTGTTTTGCTTTTTAATTTTTGAATATACATTTGTTAAAAGTCAATTTGCCCTTGTACGCATTTGAAATTTGAAACCAGTCTACACTGCACTGATTGAATGTCTACAGAGGTTAAAATCATGTCCTTGATAGATACAGAACTTGGGACAAATTGATGATCGAGAGAGTTAGAAGATGAATTAATACTAGCAGGTGAATTAATGCTCCTTTGCAGATTGACAAGAGAGTTTGTCAATCAAATGGCCAGTTGAGGTTCTCACGGAATGTGTACAAGGCAAGGAATGAAGCAGAGGATGGTATATTAGAAGCCTGAGAATACTAAGATTTTACAATTATATACCTTATCTTATATAGAGTAACTTCTCAATATTATTTACTTCCTAATTTATCCCTAATTTTTGTCTTTGCCCAAGTAAGTGAAATCATTCAATTACTAAGGAGCAAATAGAAAACATTTCTGTAAAATGGATGACACTCCTATGAAATAAAAAGATCCCAAACCCAAAAATACTGACTCAGTGAACTGCATGACACATGGTACTGTCCAGCACAAAGAACAGTACCAAAGTTATTCCACACATTATCTTTTATCAAATTAATCAATGCTTTTCTTCTATACTATGATCCTCCAAACACTCAGGCTTTCAGTCTAGACAAGTGTATCAGAAAAGTTCTGCCTTCATGAATGTAATACAGTTTCATTGACTAACCTGGTAAGATTCTGTTATTATTTTAGATTAGAAAAAAAAGAATAAACAGGAATACTGCAGTGCTGTTAAACCAAAGTATGATGCAGGATTTAAATTTTGTCCAAAGCCTTCTTTCATTATTAAAGATATACTCCTTTTGACTTCACTTACTACCACTTGCCAGAATCAGTCTTTCTGAAGATAGACATGTGAAGGACAAACAAAATCTGTTCCATGGACAAAAAACAATGTTGGACTAAATGGATGAAATCAAGCTTGGATCTCCTAGCTGACCGTAGTGTGGAGAACAATACAGTCTTTTCCCAAAGATATTGCCGATTCCTCATACAGAGCTGTAGTTCCTCCTTTGGAGTGTGAATAAAGAAAATAAAGATAATAAAGCCAGGTTGGAGTTGGTTGAGGAGTTAAAATGAAAAGTGATAAAGTAGTGGCAGACATGGAAAGGGAGAAACTATTGGGCCAGACAGTATTTGTCTGGTTCTTTTCAAGGTCTTTTAGAATACCTTGCTGGCCAGAACACAGTGAGCCTGCAGGCCCACAGTCGGGCTTCAGAGCTTGTCCTAGCGGAACTGTAAGCGGGTTTCAACATCTGGCCATTTTGGTTTCTCGTTACCCTTGCTGAAGAGAGGATTCGCCTCATCTCTATTCTGGTTTCTTAAGTCTTTGGAGATCCTGCCACCAGACAAGCCCCCACTTCCCTCCTCTCCTCAGACTTTTCACTATGACCCTCTCTCTAGCGAGAGGAAGAGCACATTCAGTGGCAGCTGACGGTTACTGAGGGCCGGTCAAGCACTGTGCCCGTGATGAACAAGACCAAATTTGGCCCTTTGAGATCAGGACAAGGTTTCTCCATAACATGCCTCCCTATAAACCTGCCGACCAAGCGATCTCAGAGGTTCCCATGCGTGGTCACTCTAGTGCACTCTGGGCAGACGAGGCAGTCAGAGACAGGACACATCCCAAACTTGTGACAGCAACTGGAGAAAGGGAAGCATGGGAGTAAAGTCATGAAAGGGGGCTAGAAATACAAAAAAGTGGCAAAACTGGGCATAGCGACCTCATCGAGTCAATTGACAGGAGGCTGGGGACAGGAATCGGGTTCTCACTTTCACCTGGCTTCCTTCCTTATGCAGCTGTCCTTCCTTCAGCAAGGCCCCAGGTTCCTGCCCTGGGTCCTGGGGTTAATTTAGGGGACAGACTCTGGAAATTTTAAGATTTAGAAATATTAAGCAGGCAAAGGACTAGATAGGTGAGTGAAAAATTATAGTAAAGTGACCTGAGGGAAACTGTACCTCTTATGTTCTTAAAATATGCAAAGATGATAATACATAACATAATAAAATAAAATTGAAAATTGTGTAAAGCAATCATATATTATGTAATTTGGTAGATTTGGCCACCTCTCATATGTAAAACAAAATCATTTGAAGAAACACCAACAATCTGAATGCACCCCATTTGTATAGTAGGACCAACACTTTAGGCCACATTAGTCTGTCTCCAAAGCTGATGCTTTTATCTACTGCTGGGCAAAAACACTGGGCTTCTGCCATAGTCCAGAGGGTGGCACAGTGACATTCACGATCCTTACAAATGCTTGATCAATGAATAAGTGGATGAAGACCCAAGTGTAGCCAAAATCTCTCATTATCAGGAAGGTCACAATCAAGATATTTTACATGACCTCATGCCGATCCCTTGCCTATTTCAAACTTTCTGCTTCAGACCTACACAGAGAAATGCTGCAGAGATTAACCTGTTCTCTAGTTCAGAAGGTGCCTCAACAACAAAACATGAAACACATTTGTAACAAATACAAGTTACGTGGATTAAATTCTTCTTTTACAAAGAAATCCTAAAGAGAGGATAGTCCTTCATTTTTTGGTAAAGAAGCAAATCAGAAGTGATAACAAGTCCATCAGAGTATTGGTTCATAATAAGACAAATGTCATGGTAATCAAGGAGTTCACTGCAAAATATTATCTGAATGGCAGTTTGGCAGTAGATTCCATTTAACCAGACCCCTTCAAAATTAATAGCCATTCTGTGAATTTCACCCTCATGAATGAGAGATTCTCTTGAGGTATTTGTTTGTGCCTAAATAAAAAATAAAAATTGCATTTGAAGAACTTAACTAGATGAGTTTCTTTTCTTTTTTTTTTTAAGATTTTATTTATTATTTATTTATTTGAGAGAGAGAGACAGAGATATCGAGAGAGAGCACAAGCAAGGGGAGGAGCAGGGAGAAGTAGGCTCCGTGCCGAGCAGAGAGCCTGTCATGGGGCTCGATCCCAGGACCCCGAGATCATGACCTGAGCTGAAAGCAGACGCTTAACCAGCTGAGCCACCCAGGTGCCCCTAGATGAGTTTCGATAGTCAACATTTCAGTAAAATCTATAAAAAGCATTCTTATATTTAGTTGAAACCTGTTTCAACATCATTGAAAACTGGTAATTACATCAGGGCAATCATCAAGCCAATGTGAATTAGTTACCATTTACTGCCGGTCATAAATCCAGTACTTTCTCATACACATCCACAGATTTATTTCTCATATCAGTCATATGAAGGAAGGTGCTATCCTCGTTTTATACACACAGAAAGGGAAAAATGAAATGGCATTTGAACCCACCTCATCTTCCACTTCTCAGTCATTGCACCGCACCGCATTTTTAATGACAAGAATTTTGTACAAGAAGACATTATTGATGATGAAAGAAGTAACATAATAGCTTTATTTTGAGATACTACATAACATAGCTCAACATTATCAGTTCTAATTTAACTAAACTGTCATTCATATTCAGCCTGGCATCAGGAACATGGTAAATGAATAAATGTGTGCTCTGAGTGGCAGTGACTTACAACTTTGGTGAGTTTTATTTTGAATATGTCTACCCTGTACAGTCAGTGGACAGGCAACAAAAGGAACTGATATCACCAGGAATGTTCACGGTCGACCCTTACCGCTCTGCTGCTTTCTCTCACCGTATGAGCTCTGTGTCTGCCAAACCCATTGACATTTGTGTTCTAATGTGTGAGGACAGGATGGGAAAGGGAGAACCAAAGCGGAAAAAGCATGTGTGTAGCCTTTGAGGTTTGGTGGGTGTGATATCTAGAGAGGAGATAAAGAGAGGTCTTAACTACAGCTACGGGGTATGAGAGCTGAAGAAGTGAGAGGAAATCCTGTAAAATATCGCTATGAATTATAAATCGGATCCTTGTCTTGTTCTCCAAAATTTACAACTAAAGGATCAGGTTGGATGTTCTTTTAACTATTAATAATTCTGTTTCTTTGGTCATGTTACAGTTCAAACTAGGTCAAATGGAATCTTCCTTACATGTCAGCTATAGATAAGCTGTGCCTCGTATCTCTTTTCATTTAAAGCCAACCTTGGAGGGCTTCTTTTGGGGGATTTTCATTGCTATGGTTTCGCACGCTTTCCATTTTGAAATCTGCAGTACTTTTCTGTACGCAGCTTCTACTCACCTAATTCTATTTACAAAGCTATAAAGTGTTTAGATTTGGTTTTAAGGAATTCCAGAAACTACTTCAGAAAAAATGATCAGAGTGTAGGAGAGGATCCATCAGGAAGGAATCTGAATCAAATAGGTGAAACATAGAAATCAGAATGGGGTTAGAATATTCACATTCTGACCCGAGTACAGAAAGCAGAGGATCAAAATTACTGCTTTGGAACTTGAGAAATAGCAGCAACAATGTTCTTCAGATCAATCTCTCTTCTCAATAATTAGCCTGACTATTCAGCCAGTATTTGCTATTCGAATGCATAAAATAGTATAAACCAAGTGATGTCCTTGAAATTAATGGTTCTTTCACTGTACATGAAGATCTTGCTTGCCAGAACATTTTGAATGCTTCTTTATTTAAAAAATCAAATCCAATCAAGAAGCTAAGAAATAAAATTTGTACTGTTCCATTTCCTTAATTGATGAAGACTTCCAAGGTAATATTGAAAGAACAGCCCTTTATTCTCAAGGAATTCATATAGCAATCACAGTCATAATCAGACTGGCTTTCTCTCTGAAAGTAGACTTTCAATAACCTATCCAAAGATTTTATTTTAGTACAAACAGTGAAAATAACAGAAGTATTAAAAGAAAGATGAATCATGATTGACAGAGGTGAAAAATCTAATTACTTGGAAAGTATATTTTGAGGCACTGGAATTGAAAATAATAACATCTTAGTGACTGAAATGGACATATTGATGTTTTCGAACCGTGCTTCGCTAGGATATTTTATGCTTTGTTTTTCAATGATGTCAGGTCTTTGGCTTGGAACTTAAAGGCAGACGTGTTAATCTGTAGTATGTGCTTGCATTACTATTGTATAACAGTGGTTTAATCTGTCTGCCTATAAAAGCCTTAAATGAAATGAAGTGGTTCATTATTTAACATGTTCAGTCCTCTTTTTCACAGCCAGAGTGCTGATAGTTAAGAATCCTTCATCTTCCTTTCCCTTTGCTCTTCTCCCCGGATGAAGGCCAGTAAAGGGCAGGGATCCTTCTCTAGCTGATAGGGGCTCACTCAGTTCCCCTGAGAAGTCAGGTGCACTGCCTCTACGAGGGATCTGCATACAAGCAATACATACAAGCAAAGCGTACAAGTAATTGAGGACTCTGCCTTTTATTTACGTTTTGCGTTTCTGTAGAGCTAATTTGAAAAATCAGCCTGCATCTCTCCAGGAAACAAATATTATGGCAAAATAAACTATGTAAAATATTTTTTAAAGAAATGATCTGCTTTATCCAGTCAGGAAAGGTGAAAAGTATTATAGGAAGCACAGAGTTTTATATCTTTCATTTATTGAATTCCACTTGTCACTAATAAATAGTGTTTAAAAAAAAAAAAAGAAGGCAGATTTGGTCTTAAGATACATTTGCAGTTTGATGTGTACCTAAGCAAAATTTCTAAACTTCTGTTCTTCTATCAGCAGATTGGATCTTTGTTTTCTTTCCCCTAAAAGATTTTATAACTTTTACCCTTTATATTGTTACATTCAAACTCTGAAGCTCTCGGTTGCTATTATAATACAAACTAACCCAAAGTTTGGGCAATGTTAAAAACTAGTGGAAAGAAGTTGAAAAATTTACACTTGTAATATTAAATTATCTCCAGTAAGTGATTTTTTTTTAATGTTAAAGAAATCATGCTAAGGTAGCAAGAAAAAAAAAAAAAACCTCTAAAAAGCCTATTTGAGAGCAATTTATAAAACATTATTTTCTCTGTTTAACAAAAATACCAGTTTATCAGAAATGCACTAGAAGTTTTTTCATTCATTTTCAACTATGTATTAATGTAGTATTTATTGAAGTTGGGAGATTCTACTTAACAGTCATATCTATTTGAGATTTTTAAAAGCTAATCCAGTGATCCATTTTCGTGAAATTTTTAAAATAAGTAACACTAATGGGAATAATGTCAAGAGGGCATCATTACAAATGCAATAAGCGATTGAATCTTTTGCAGTTTTTTTCTCAATAGAAAACCCTCAAATTAAGTCAGATAAAGATCAGATACTGAGAAGAAAACATAGCTGCTGAACCTGTTGAAGAGTGAAATGGTCATTTCATAAACACCTATTTTATATTATGATCTGAAATATATTTATTGATAGATGCCAATAAATTAAAGGAATTAAATTAGTTCTGCTTTTTATAAACCTTATATTAAAATAATCTGAAATTACATATCCATATCAGATATGTGTAAACTCAAATGATTAAAATTGTTTTATTCTTTTTTTGTTTTCCATTCACAGAAAATGATGACTATCTGAATGGCTTAATAACCAGATTAGAAAATGCAGATGTTAGAAATGAGGATCTCCTGAGAGCTTTGAATGACACTTTGGGGAAGCTGTCAGCCATTCCAAATGGTAAGCACTTGGGACACTGCAAACTGTGTCAGTTGACCTGTACTATTAAAGAATGTTCTAACGTTTACCATCTTTTCTGACATTACACTTGGACCGTTGTCAGGAAATTAGATATTGGTTTTCTTACTTATGAATTTTTCCTTGTGAGAATGAGAAACTAAGCCATACTTTACCCTGTGATATTTCTTATGCTTTGTTACCCTAGCTGACATCCATTGGTATATGTTGCAAAAAGGAAAATATACCCATCTTATTATTTTACTGTTCTTCCATGTGTCAGCCAATAAAAATCTTTCTAATAAGATTATTGTTATTATTAGAAATAATATTGTTTGTAATCTCATGTTAATGGGAAAGTATGAAATCACACGGGTACTGTTCTCTAAAATGTTGTTCTGCTACAAAGTCACAGGGGGTTATAATACCTACATGACAGATGAGAGCCTTTCCCCACATCATTCTTTACTTCTTTTTTGGTTTTTTTTTGAGTACAGACGACACACAATGTTACATTATTTTCAAGTGTTCAACATAGTGATTCAGTGAGTCTGTAGGTTATGCTATACTCACCACAGGTGTAGCTCCCATCTGTCCTGATACAACACGATTACAGGATCATTGGCTATATTCCTTAGGCTGTGTATTTATTTCTATGACATATTCATTCTGTAACTGGAAGTCTGTATCTCCTGCCCCCCTTCACCCATCCTGCCCCTCCCACCAACAGCCCTCCCTCTGGCAACAGTCAGCGCATCTTTCTTGGCAAAGTTCAGTTCCTTAAATGTTTCAGCTTTGAAAACATTAATGGCTGAACCATGTCTGTAATATCTTCCTACCTATTGTAAGTACTTGAAGTTATTGTTTGGTATTAGTTCCTGAAAACACTGTCCTTTATATTTTAATAATGTGATACAATAATAACAAAGTCTGCTAATGTTTACTGAGTGCTTACTCAATATGCTTGTTAAGTGTATGTAATCCTCACAGTAATCCTACAAAATTAATAGTGTTAGCCCCACTTTACAGGGGACAAACTGAGACACAGTATCATGCTAAGGGAAATAAATCAGAGAAAGACAAATACCATATGATTTCACTCATATGTGGAATTTAAGAAATGAAACAGAATGCTGAAGGCCATTGTTAAAAGTAGTGTATATGAGATTTGAACCCCACAGTTTAACTCTGGAGCCTGTGGCCTTAACCACTAATCTACACATACTAGTAGGCATCTATATGTTCAGTATATGTTTTTTATACAAATTATGATCAAGGAAACTAATGCATACATTTATATAACACAGGATATATTAATGATTTTTACTCTTTCAACATTAAAAAAAAAACTGTCCAGGATTGCTTGTCATCTCTTTCAGTAGTAAGGACGTACCTAGAAAATTTCCAATGCTGAAAACAAATATAAGTACATAAACACAAGGTCTAAAATACCTGAGAGAGTCTCTCCATCTTTAAGTTGAAGTACATTCATTCATCATTCCCCCTTCGGAATGTGCAGATTAAATCTTAAACCTAGTTTTGATGAAACTATGATTTGTGGATAAATTTCTCTCCGTAATATGTTCAGCAGCAAATCACAGTATACCCTTCCTTATACAATGAACATTTAGAATAATCACTTTGCTATCTTAAGAGCTAATCAGGTATTCATAGCAAAGGTCCCCGGGAAAATTTAATTTAGCTAAAAATTTACTTCATTTGCTCCAACCGAATGAGACAAAGTTCAGCCTTTCCCTTTGTGCGTGTGCCCCTGAGGTCGGCCGGCTGCAGCCTCCCTTTGACAGGCGTGGTGCGAGCCACTAACTCCAGACCCTTTGCTTCGTTCCTCATACCCTCTCCTGCCAACAGACACAGCCGCTAAACTGCAAGCTGTTAAGGACAAAGCAAGACAAGCCAATGACACAGCAAAAGACTTATTGGCACAGATTAAAGATCTCCACCAGAACCTTGATGGCCTGAAGAAAAATTACAATCAACTAGCAGACAGCGTAGCCAAAACAAATGCTGTGGTAAAAGATCCTTCGAAGAACAGTAAGATCTCCTTTTTCCTTTGATTATGTCATGTGTTTCTTCACACTATAAAAGGACCCTAGACTCCTAACTCGTAGAGGTGGAGGAGACCCCACAGCAATGTTGTCTGCTCTCCTCATACACTGGGCTCAGGAATTGAGTGGCTAGAATCCAAGTCCCCAGGCCCTGCACTAGTGCTTTCTTCATCCACATTTTGTCCAATCAAGAGGATATTCAGAATTATCAAAATCTGCATGATTTTTGGTATAGGGATGCCAAATACCTTTTTTTTTTTGCCAAATACTTTTTTAATCCTTCAGTGTAATTGAAAATGCAGTTGTACTTGGGAAATTATATCCTCTGAGTTGGTGAAGTTCTATGGAACATAGAGGTCAAGGAGCATACTTACCAGCAGGCCTGTTAGAACAGGGTATTAAAATGGTATCAACCTGAAATGCATTAAAATTCAAAAATAATAATATTATTTAAATTTGCATGTTTAAATGTAACTTCCTGTTTTCAGGAAGTTAAAGTATCTAGTTTATCAATATTTCTTCACAACTTTTGTGTATTACATTAAATTATAGCAAGTTAATAAGGATTTCCTGAGAAAATATGGTAGAATTTAATATAATGATAATTTAAATTATTAACTGTAGTCAATAAACATTATGATTTTTATAGTCTTTTTTCCATTCTTCGAAGTGATGCAACATTATCTTAGTATGTGATTTCACCAAAGGAAAGACTTGATTTTTTTTGTACTTGTCCCTCTGAAGAGACTAGCCCTCTATTTATATACCAACATTTCCATTGGGTATCCACATGTTGGTAGCGTGTAATAACAAAAACACTGTTATAGACGTTAGGTGTTCTATAATTCAGGTGCTGATTTTTCAGCACCATTGCCTCAAATCAAATGCTAATGATGCTACAAAATAGTAAATGCTACTAGCATGATTCCTTAAAGAGCAAGGAAGAGTGCAAACATATATAATGTGGATTTCAGAGCTAGGGAGGATTTATAATTTGCCATTTCTTAAAAAAAAAGAGGCCATACAATCATTTTTTTCATTTTTTCTTATATAAGCCCAGAGTTAGCTGTTCTCTGTAGTTCAAAGATTCCATCCGAATAAATGGTTCCAGTGCATGCCAGATCACAATATCTCCCACCCCACAAGTGAAAATAAGTTTTAAAGTCATTCTCTTATTTTATAATTGAAAATATTATTCCATTCAATTTCAGATTGATTCTCAACTGATAGTGGCCTCTGCATAATATTTATCTTTAACTTTTTGACCCTACCCTCTATCTAGAGATAGTTACCTGTAATATTAATTCAACTGGGTCCATTTTCTATCTTACTAGAACATCATAATAAAGTTTCTTTCAATATGAACAATAGCCTGCCAACTGACATGCGTTTGTGGATTTTTATTTGATCACACTTGTTTTACTTAAAAAAGGGTGCATTTGTAATTAGTACCTGTTGTGAAAAGTACTATTTTTTTGATAATCACTGCTTTATAAAATCTATAAAAATATTTCCTCATGAATTTTCTAATTTCTTTTTGTTTTGCTTCCATATGAAATTACCTGCAGAAATCAGTATGTATATGCTTACTTGCATACTTTTCAGTAACTTTACGCTTGACTGCCTATTGCAAATGCTTCAGCTTTGCATGTTACCATGTTTTGGTATTGCTTTAACCTTATATAGCTATTCTTTCCAGTGTCACAGTATTAATATTAGATATATTAAAAAAAGACATCTGTTTTTACAAAAAGCATGTGGATGTATCTGATATAAAATGCTTTCAATGGTATTATAGAAATTAGTGAAATACCTGTATGATACCAACAGAAAAGTGGAAAACAGAATTCTACAGATTGAACTAAATTGTAATTCTTCCAATAAGACAGATTCAGCCACTGAAGTTCAAACAACTTCTTTGCAGTAGGATTAAAATAGATTAAGTGTATGTTGTTGTCATCACCTCTCCCCTCCCCGATGCTCACTTTCCCCCCTCCTTATGAATAATTATTCTCAACTTCTAGAGAATTCTGCTTGGAGAAGCACATAATAAAACTAATAAAATTAGATCTTATCAAATGAGCAATTATTGGGATATATTCTCTCTTACACATCTCATAGTTTAAATTCAAAGTCAAAAATAAAATTGCAGACTGGAAAATAATAATAGTAAAATCCAACATATCAAAACCTGAGAAATATGACCAAGGCTGTCTTCAGTGGAGAATGGGTGTGATCACATTACTAAACCAGCACTGAAATAAACAATTTAGGTTATCAACCCTATAAGTTAGACAAAATAAAATTAAAGAAGATGAAAAAAAATGGTGAATTGGAAGACGGAAAATAATACACTTGATAAATCCAAGAGGTGAATCCTTAGGAGTGTGAAGATAAAACATTTTAAATACTTGGCAGGCTTACTCAAGAATAATAAAGCACAGATAGGCAAACTTCTAAAGGAGCTTTAACTAGATACGGGGGGGGGGGCCTTAACACATAAGAGAGTACTTGTCAAAACTCTATGCTAATGAATTTTAGAGCCTAAAAGAGATCGATAATTTTCTAGAAAAACATTGAATTATCATAATCTGTCTTCAAAAGTGATTTTAAAATGCATACACTCAAATAATTATAGAAGAAAGTCACAAATTTTTAAAAAGTACTATATAAAAAATTATCAGACTCAATATCACAGAGGTTTTATTTTTAAAACCGTCAAGAAGATAATTTCCAAAAGACTTCAACTGCTCCAGAAGATAGAAGGGGAAAGAAAAAAAAAATGAGGGAGGTGGGGAACCTTTGGATTTCATTTGGAAACATTTGATAAGAATCTGAGAGCTTTCAAAGGAAAGAATGCATTCTTGGATGAAGCTGAACTAGTCTTTGCTTTACCCTTTTTCTTTTTCCCATGAATCTAAATTAAATCATTTTTTTCTCAATTCCAGAATAATTTGTAGAATATCAGGGTAATATTGGGGAATTAAAGGAAGGGAAAAATGGACAAATGGCTTATTAAAAGTATACAAAACAAAGGGGTGACTGTGTCTGTGTTGAATATACAATTATGTAACCAGGGCTTTGACCCAAGTAACCTGCATTTCAGGCTTTGATCTAGCAACTCTGTTAGTTAAATTTAATAATAGACTTATGTCCTTTTTAAACATCACTTACAATATTGTTCATATTTATGAGCATGAGTTCAAAATACTGAATTCAAAGCCTAGTTTAAAAATAATAATTTCTGGGGCTCCTGGGTGGGTCAGTCAGTTAAGCAACTGGCTCTTGATTTTGGCTCAGGTCATGATCTCAGGTTCGTGAGATCAAGTCCTGCCTCAGGCTCTGCTCTGTGCATGGAGCCTGCTTAAGATTCTCTCTGTCCCTCTCATGCTACCTGTGTGTGCATGTGTGCGCGTGCCCCCCCACTCTCTTTCTCAAAAAATAAAAAATAAATAAATAAATATGCTTAAAAATTTAAAAATAATCATGTCCTTCCTTTTGAGCACCTTTGATTCATTCCTGAGATTAGTTCTCAGTGGTCCATTGGCCACCAGAGAGCTGATCATTCATAGCTGAGCAGGGCACACAGCCTTGGTCCTTAAGCAGTTTCACTTTTTCATCAGGGTCACAGTGACAGAAAGCAGAGCAATACATGCTCGATCAGATAATGAATGGAAAGGTTTGGGTAAGACGGCTGGCATCCTCGAGATAGAGTCATTGGTTTCCAGGTGTCATTTGCCCTCCTGTGAAAAGCACATGCTGAAAGTCTATGGATCAGTGATAACCTTCAGTTATTTTGGGGTTAAACCCCTTTTGAAATTGTTGATATTCAACCTTTTTTGGAACCTATAAAAATGGCCATTTAATATGGTTCAACCTAATATAGAGATTAGGATAATCAATTATTCTTCAAAATGAAAATGAACTGCAGCATGAAAGATTTAAAGTTTAATGTAGGCCTTCAAACTGAGAGTTGTTCAACATTGAAATGTTTTCCGAAGACATTTTGATTGCTTGTCTCTTTAAGACGTCCAAAGACAGAGCATGAGAAAAAGAAAGAAAACCAATTTTGTGTGAGAACCCTGATTTAAATACAGTTCTGGCTTGGACAGACAAAGTGACGTTTTAAAACACTTTCATTTCCTTGATTCTGTGACTAAAATTCTATAAAGGTTAGCTTTTGGGCTGAAGCTGGAAATTAATCGTCAAATTAAGGTCATCGTATTCTCTACCTTCAGTGCTAACTTTCACCTTGATCACAGAGCCAGAGTGTTGGTCCTCTATCTCTAACACCTCCTGCTTTGGCCTGCCTGAGTCCCAACTGAAATATTCCCATTTGCCATCACACACTGTGCTTTAGCAATCATCGCCCTGCTTTATCATGTGAATAAGATGAAATCCTTTCAATTATTTAATGAAGCCTACTACTATTTTCATTTCTGTGTGTATGTGTGGTATGTGCTTATCTTGTCCTATGCAGTTGCAGATGCCCATGCCACTGTGAAAAATCTAGAACAAGAAGCTGATCGTCTGATAGATAAACTCAAACCCATCAAGGAACTTGAGGATAACCTAAAGAAAAACATCTCTGAGATAAAGGAACTAATAAACCAAGCCCGGAAACAGGCTAATTCTGTAAGCTTTTTTTATTTTCAGTGTCAGTAATTGATTGTCATTTTGGGTATTATTCCCAGAGGGAATGCCTTCCCCCAATGTATTCTGTTGACTAATCACTGGTTATTTTCCTTTAACCTGAAGCAATTTTAGAGGGAGGGGAGGAAAAAAGATTAGATTTTTTTTCCATGAATTTCAAAAGACATCTCATAGGAAGAATAATCACCATTTATTGTTATAGAAATGGGAATTTTGATATATATCATCATTGTTTGAATAGAGTAGCACAAATAGCAAGAATGGAAATCTTACTACTGTATGTTTAAAAGGCATGGATGCTTTTGATGAAAGCAAAAAAGGCCAACCAGTAGGGCTGTATCAGCAATGAATGAACAAGGTTATATAGAGTAATAGCAATGAACAACCATTATTTTCTATATTTTTTGTCTGAGTATTACAACAACACAAATTATTTTGGTTACAATTTCTGCAGGGTTTTTTGTTTTTTGTTTTTTGTGGGTTTTTTTTTTTTTGGAGTAAAAATGGAGAATACCTCACTTGTATCAAAATTTGGCTCTTTATTAACCCAATTAGAAAACTCTTAGGAGAGAAGAACTTCTAGAAGATAGTAACCTGGTGAATCAGGGTAGAATTGCTAAGTGCCAATGTGAAACTTTATCTAGCAAATTCATCCCATGGTGACTTTAGAAATAGAAGAAAAAAAAATAACAGTTTATGTTGTCAGGTTTAAACGAAAATCTTTTTAGATCTCCAAGTTTTCTGTCTCAAAAGTTCCATTTTCTGAACAACTTTGAAACTAGAATGACCAGAAATGCCCTTTCTTAATCCATCAACTTATAATTTTTTGAGTAGTGGCCAAGAATATAATGCCCAAAGAGCAGTATATCATTTCTCCTCCTTATACATAGCTGATACCTCTAAACAAGGTTAAGATAATAAGTTCAAGGTGCACTTTAAAAAGGAATTCAGGCCTGACTAAGGAGAAATTGTGGCTCAGTCGTTAAGCATCTGCCTTCAGCTCAGGTCATGATCCCAGGGTCCTGGGATCGTGCCCCGCATCAGGCTCCCTCTCCCTCTCCCACTCCCCCTGCTTGTGTTCCCTCTCTCACTGTGTCTCTCTCTGTCAAATAAATAAATAAAATCTAAAAAAAAAAAAATGATAACAAAATTAGTCAAGATGATGTACATAAGCTCAAAGTGAAAGAAGCAGATAGGGTTGAGAACATCAAGATGATGTACATAAGGTCAAAGTGAAAGAAGCAGATAGGGTTGAGAACACATATATTGAGTTACAGTGTGAAAACCATGTGGGCAGTATGATGACATAAGATTATTGTATACATAAAGCACAAAGTGAAAAGAAGTAGATGTTAGTTCAAGGTTTGGGGTGTTAGCTAAGATTTAGCCCATGTAGAAAAAGCATCTCCTACATTCAAGGCAACTTCTACTTACATAGTTTGTAACACCATAGAAGAAATAAGACATGTACGTAAATAACTCTAAGGTAATGCCAGATAGTGTGCTACATTGCATGAGCAATGGGAAGTGCTATAAAGTTCTGAAAGAAAAGATCCCCTCTAATAGGGGCCAGAAGATTTCACAAAGACAAGAATTTGAGCTAGGCCTTGAGTGAGGTAGTGCTGGATTTGGATGGGGAGAGTAAGGAAGGAGAGCATTCTGAGAATGAACCAAGGCAGAGAGGAAAGAAAGTTTCAGGATCACTTCAAGAGAGTGGTCTAGTTTTCCAGGATTGTTGGTCGAGTGAACATTAAACTGGAAAGGTCAACGGAGGCCAGGTCTTGTTAGGCCTTGGATGGCAAAGTAAGCAATTTCATTTAGCCAGAATTGTCCCTGAGATGAATCTTATTGGTAAGGAGAAACTGAAAGTTCTTGAACATGAAATGTCCTATTATCAGAGCTGTGTTTTTTGAATATGAATTTAGAAGTCATTTGGGGCATAAATGAGAGGAAACTAGGAAGAAGATAACTTTAATAAGAGCCCCAACTGTAGCAGGTGGAAGTAGCTAGAGAAAGGGAGAGCTTGAGATATCACTCCTGTCATTTGCAATATTAATTTTAAAAAGCAATAATAGTAATATTCTCCGGCAAATCACACACTTAGCCATATTTTCTTAGTCATCATGTGGGGAAATCTGGTCATTTTTATTATTTCTTCTTGTAAAGAAATCTAGAAATATGCCATATATTCATCAGTTGTGAGTGCTGCCTCCTACCCCTCCCCCCGCGCAGGGAAAAAGATAAAATTCTGGCATGTTAAGTATATAAAACCCGTCTCAAAATACAAAATGAAAGACAGGTTTAAAGAAATGCTACAAAAAGTAACCATTGTCCATGACTTTCAAGGAAATTTTCAATCATTTTTTGAAATGGAAGTTACAACAAAGTGTCTTATTTTTTATACGATGTTAGAAATATGTAAGCGAGCCAATTTTTTTTTCAAGAGAGGTTTGTACTAATTGAAGATGACATTTGCATGATTTTATAAATGTATTTGTAACCTGGTATGAGTGTCTGGATGTGGCCCTGACACATATTCAATATGACCAAGAAATTAAAGACATTTCTTTTTAGTAGCTTTCTTTAGTTTGTTGACTCTGAAATTGAGCAGCTGATACTCTTTTTAAACAAATGACCTAGTTACTGGATGAGAGAAATGCAGCGAAAATCCAATAGATATAATAATGGGATCCTCAATAATGTTTAATTGAGTTCATAATGATTCATTGGTAATGTTGTATGAGGAATGCCTTAGAGATACCTAAGGCTTAGTGATTTTTGTTTAGAAGTCTTACGAAGGGCTCACATTAGAAATAACAATAATTGATAAAACCAAACATTCTAAGAGATGTTTGTGTTTCAGAAATTACTCCCTTCTTATGAGAGGGAAATGTCCTAGCAACTTCTTCTGGAGAAATTTATAAATACTGTATTTCGATTTACCTGTTTTAGTTTGTTTAAGAAGTCTCTACAATTGGAAATCAAAACACAAGGTATTTTAAAGGAGAGATTAGTAGCTATGGACTGGTGACCAAGAGTTTGGGCTCCCTGAATTTTTCAGGTACTGAGGGTATATTCAAAACCACAAGCCAGAAAACAGAAAATCCAGAGGATTTTTCATATAAATGTGTAAGAGTTGAGCAATAGGCTACTTTACAAGATCAATTGCTGGCATTTAGGGCATAACAACGTCATTTTGTTCAGAGAACCATATTTTTTAGGTATGTAAAGTATGCCATAAAATAGATTAATTGTAACTCCTACTGCCATTAAATATCCTTCATTTTAAAATGGCTACTCTCTTAGCCTTTCAATTCTCAGATAGGATTTCCTCAGTTCAGTTAGCCTTCGGTACTCAGTGCTCTGTTATCTACACTTTGGTAATCCCCTTTTCAACACACCATCATGGAGGTCGCTATCATTTCCACCAGGTGTACCCAAGCAAGGACAGAAACCAATCCTGTGATCAAACAGTCATGCATTTTGCCCACATTCAGTCATTTCTTCCCTAAACAGCAACCAAGGAGGATTATTACATTGTATTCTTTTTTTTTTTAAGATTTTATTTATTTATTGGAGAGACAGAGACAGAGATAGCAACAGAAATAGTGAGAGAGAGCACGAGCGGGGAGGAGAGGGAGAAGCAGGCTCCCCGCGGAGCAGGGAGCCTGATGCGGGGCTCGATTCTAGGACTCTGCGATCATGACCTGAGCCGAAGGTAGATGCTTAACCGACTGAGCCACCCAGGCGTCCCACATTGTATTCTTTAAACAAAAATAAGTTAGTTGGGATTAAATTAGCCATAATATGGCTCGATGGCCAAACCTAGAAAGCATTTGTGAAATAAGGATAAAACAGACCGCACAGACACATTGATTACTAATCCAGCCCCACTAGGAACTTGGATATGATTTCCTATAGCTCAATGTGCTGCTCAGCTCCACTCATGAATTCCAGTCAGACCTTGACTTCTTTTCTTTGATCATCTTATGATGTCAATGATGCTTATATCCTGCCTCAGATATTGAATTTACTCAGTGCCAGGGTCTTCTCTGATGATGGTTTCGGTTCACTTGCTAACAATTCCTAAAAACTCACCATATCCTGTACCTTTTCCTGAACATTAAAAATATCTGAAGGCTGCATTTCCCCTACCTGCCCTCCACCATATTATCTTTCTCTTGCTTTGCTCTGTCCTTTTTATCTCGGAGCCCTTGGATAACCCTTTGTATAGCTGCTACTCTACCATGTAACACCCTCGGCCAACCTTTACTGCACATGTGCTCTATAGTGTTAACACCCAGAGTACAAGTTGCACATTTCCTGGTTCTGTTTTTCTGCAACTCATTTTGATTCACCGACTCTCGGCACCTTATGTAGAAGGAAAATCCCATCATTTGTGGAGCAAAGATCTAACTTCCTGATGGAGAACCACACTTACCAGGAAGACTGTCTCCCCCAGAATGCAGAGCAAACATTCCAGGTACCAGAGTTGCAGTGTGGGCCCCAACCCTAGGAGGAAGGCAAGGACAAGGAAAACAGTCTAAGCGGTAGACTTTGAGGTTATTCTAGCCCTGGGCCACCACGCAGGGCTCCATTAGGCTGAGCCCCTGTTTCTTTCCAGCACGTGATTCCTCTGCAGAAGATGCAAGTCAGTTAGCAGATGAGGTGACGAAACAATAATATACAAATACATGACGTCTGCAGAGTCTGTAGGAAAGGCAACAGATCTGCTGTATCCCCAGAAGCTCTCAGACATATCTGAATTTACATATTCATCAGAACCAAAACCCCTCCTTAGCTTTCTTTTTAAAACTTAACCAGTTTTTTCAAAACAGAGGATCATAAAGGGAAGGGAGGAAAAAATAAAATAAGATGAAATCAGAGAGGGAGATAAACTATAAGAGACTCTTAACTATAGGAAACAAACTGAGGGTCGCTGGAGGGGAGGTACGGGGTAACAGGATGATGGACATTAAGGAGGGCATGTGATGTAACGAGCACTGGGTGTTACATGCAACTGATGAATCACTAAATTCTACCTCTGAAACTAATAATTTACTGTATGTTAATTAATTGAATTTAAATTCTAAAAAAAGGTTTCACCCAGCACCTCTTCGGTGTAGTCTATACCACCCTTGGGGAGGAGTCCTGGGGCTGCCTATACCCATTCCCTAATGAGACTTTTGGAGATGCTTCCTGTGTCACCATAATATGGAGACTGGTGATCTTATTTGGAGTCTGTAGTACCCTTTCATGGGGAGAGCAATAAAACTAGTTGGTTTTCTCCCAAGTGCAAAAACTATTTGAGTAGCACAAAGTGCTAGAAAATTCACCACTAGTGAGACCCAAGAGGCTTCCTGAAGCTGAGCTTTTAAATCAGTGGCAAAGAAAATTTTTGCACCTTTCCCTGTCTCTGCTTCCTCCTTTGAGCTCTTTCATGGAGCAAAGCAGCAGCTTCTTCCTGTGTCCAAGCAGCTACACTTCCATCCTGAAAATGCCCCTTTGATGGTATACCTGAACCAAAGGAAATTAAATCCCATAATCAACTAGTGTTATTTGTGGTTGAAGAAAGGCTCCCTAAATGTAAGTAAGAATTAATATGAACAGTTTCAGTTCTATTCAGTTCTATTCTTTCTTAGCAATTTATAGTAATTTTTAAAGTACTAGTCAAAAGAAAAAGGAGCTGTTAAATACATTAGTAGGGATAACCATTGAAAATTATTTCCATTTCATTTCCTGGCAACTTAATAAATAGGTATAATTTATTCTCAAATGTATGTCCTGAGTAGCATGATTAATATTCTTCATATTGTTAGAACATCTAGAACAAAATCTATTTGGCCTCTTCTAACTGTAAGAACATGAGAGGGTAGGTAATTTCCTCTTGAAAATGGAAAGAAAAGTGGTGTCCTACTTTAAGTGATACCAAAATCACTGAAATTTGAATCGTAAAATTTCATTAAACAACGTTAATGGAGATCATTATTATTAGCTTCATATAAAATCACCTTTTGAAAATGTCCCCACATTCATAAAGGAGGAAGGTATGAAGGTAAGAATTTGTTAGTTGCATGCTCCGAAAAATAGTAGCGTGCTAACAAGATATGGGGCTGTGAACAGCTCATTGTCAAAATCCTGGTGGGAAGCTGCTCTTCTGTGCCCTCATTAATGAGTATAATGGTGTCTGCATATGGGTATTTAATGATTCTATTTGATGATAAAAAAAATAACTTCAAAGAAGAGATGATGATGGTTTTGTGGTTGTTTGGGAGGTATTTCAAACTTGCCGAGAGATTTAGTCTTGGTTCTTTGTACCTTGTTTTTCTTGAAGATCAAAGTATCTGTGTCTTCCGGAGGTGACTGCATTCGAACATACAAGCCGGAAATCAAGAAAGGAAGCTACAATAATATCATTGTCAACGTAAAGACAGCTGTTGCTGACAACCTCCTTTTTTATCTTGGAAGTGCCAAATTTGTAAGTTTGATGTTCAGCTTGTTCCGTCTCCTGGATATGTGAATACACAGAGGTTAATCCTCATAGTGAGGAAAATGTATAGACTCTAATAACATGGTCCCAAAATTGTGTGATGTAGCCTTTCAGACTTGAAAACCTTATGAATCTTACCTTGCAAAGTTCTGAAGTGTCAAATTAAGTTAGAAGAAAAATGAAATGAAGAAAACTTTTTACAGTATTTAGACACATCTGCTTTCATTCATGAGTAGACAAGCATTTATTTAGAATTATGTTTTCAGGTCTGACTATTTAAGAAGGAGGACTAAGAGGAATAAAGCTTTATAAAAAAAAGTCCCTAAGAAATTACAATGAACTTTCATGTTAAATGAAAATGACAAATTGTGTACTTCTTTCCTACCATTGAAAAGTCTTTTGACTCATGTAGAATTTATAACTCAAACCGAAAAAACAGAAGTTGATTCTACCAACACTTACCCCCAAAAGTTTTCATTCCTTTTATTTGAGCATTTGACTCTGTATGCATGGGAATCTTCCTAAATGAATAAAATTTTCAACAGACCAGTCATTGCTTAAGTCAATACTTGTCATTTAGTTGAGAAATTTTAGGTCACCTTGGGTTAAAAAAAATCACAGTTCTCCCCTTAAAAATGTCAGTGTCCTTGGTGAAAACAATAATGAATTCTGCATCCAAATATTCTCTTTTGTCTCTTCCACAAGAACCAGAATGAGAGAAGACTTTTGTTTCAAAGTAGAATTGGTTAAATTAACACATATGCCTCAGCAGTATGGATACTTGTGTTGCCTTAAAGATACAATAATAAAATATGACTTAATCATACCTAATAATAAGTCATATCGTTTGGGAATTTTTATTGTGAGACTTCTAATTATTTCACATATCTATAAATAGCACCTGTTGAAAAGAACTCTGTTGGCCTCCTCGGTATCTGATATCTGAATCTATTGTTTTTGTGTTTCTCTGAACCAGATTGACTTTCTGGCTATAGAAATGCGGAAAGGCAAAGTAAGCTTCCTCTGGGATGTTGGATCTGGAGTTGGACGTGTAGAGTATCCAGATTTGACTATTGATGACTCTTATTGGTACCGTATTGAGGCATCAAGGTAACTAACTCAATAAAGATTAAGACAGTTAAATGACAGAATTTGGAAGTAGTTTCCCAGTTTATAAGAAACCTCTTCTTTCCATTTTAAGGAGGTAGCTATGTATGCATGTATACAAAGTTTATATATTATACGTCCATGTACAAATGTGTTTGAATGGGTGTCTTTGTAGCATCTGTTTGGAAACTACACATCTTCCACGTATTGACCAGAATGACCCATCCATTTTGGACCGTTCATCTGGTTGTCTCATAGTCATGCTATCATACTCTCAGTCATACTGTCTCCCCCAAAGAAGGAGCACTGAGACTGGCCCTCGTTATGAACAAGCCAGAGCATGAGGGCTACTGCTGGTGCTTAGCTACTCTTCTGGTCTACACAGCAACCTTGCCTACAGGCAGGTGCAATATCTAAATGCTGGCGTGAATATATAACATGTCGCATCCACGCTACTTAAAATGGTAAGTAACAGGATATTGATTGATTCTGTCTGAAGCTTTCATTCCATTAACTTCTAGCAGTGTGTAGATAACGTGGAGAACCCATTCCTGCCCTCAGTCCTTTCCCCTCATTTCCTCCTCTTCTTTACCTAATTCTCCACACCTATGAAACCCAAAGCAGCTAACAGTTGAGAGGTATAGTTAAGGGCCTGGGTCTAGAGCTGGATAAAGCACTTGTTGAATATAGATGATGGGTGCAGAGAGTTTCACTCTGTGTTGTATACGCTTACATTTTTTCATAATAAAAGCTTAAAACTTAATGAGAAGCAATATTTTTAGTTCCTTTTTAAGATCTTCAGTAAAGGAATGTGAGTGTGTGTGTGAGTGTGTGTGTGTGTGTGAGAGTGTGTGTGAGTGTGTGTGTGTATGTGTGTGTGTGTAGCGAGAGAAAGCAGCAGACAACATGCTTCCATGCCTGAGAGTAGGGAAGGGATTAAGTACTTTCATGACTTTAAGAACATTTATATTCACAAAGGTCAATTCGTTGGTCAGAAGAGATACATTCTGGTAAGATGAGGAAGAACCTTATTTGATAAATTCATTCTATTGTTTCCATGTGCTTCAGTTAATGCTGCACCATCAGAGATAAAAAGATTACCTAAATGAGACAGCGGGGAGAGACAGAGACCCTCAAGTTTTGTTATGACTGCTTGTCTCAGAAGAGAGACCAGTTTTTCATATTTAACAATTCGTAGACATCAATCACTTAAGAAAATGAAATGAAATAATAATAGCTTCCAAAATTCCATTCGTTGAATTTAAAAGTGCAGTTCTTCTATACACTTTGTATATACGACTCTGAAGACAAGATATTACGCTATATATATATATATTGAGATGGGATGCCAAACAATAAAAGATGCACAATTCCAGGAAGACTACTTCAGCAGATTTGGAGCCAAGATATAACAAGGGATTTTAAGAGAAACGATGCAGCTTATAATGCAGAAGGGTGGCTCATTTGGGGCTCACTTGCTGAATTAAATTAGACAAAATGCTAAACGAAGTAGTATCAGCTCGTTTAAACAGCATGTGCTGGTAAACAGTAAATTGTTTTGCAAGGCAATGGAAAATAGGCTTTCCGTTTAAGCAGGGGCAGTGCCATCCCTGATGGCTGCTGTGTCATTTCACCTTGACTCTCACGTGCAGAGTCAGGGTATGTTGCTCACCGGTCCTGGCCACGTCTGCCAGTAAACAGCCAGCAAAGATCAGACTCTTGGTCTTGATTTGCAACTTAATGAATCCGGATCTTTTGAAGCTAAGCACCCAGTTATCTCTTAAATACTCTAAAACAAGCCCCTACATTTCATACCCTTTAAAACTAAAGTTATTATAAATGTGATACATATTTTATGTTCTGCATTTTCTTTCACTTCATTTCAACACGCACCCCTCAAGAACTGGGAGGAATGGGACCATTTCTGTGAGAGCCCTGGATGGACCCAAAGCCAGCATTGTGCCCAGTACCTACCACGCAACTTCTCCTCCAGGGTATACTATTCTCGATGTGGACGCAAACGCAATGCTGTTTGTTGGTGGCTTGACTGGGAAACTGAAGGTAGTGTGTTCTTTCCCGTGCTGTTTATTTCATCTCTGCCTATAACTCCTGACATAATTGCTCTGGGGGAAGGCATGATAAAGCTCTGCAAAAACTCAGTGACTTTTTACTTAATTTGTTTATGAAAACATACATTTCTTTTGAGTAAGAATTTTTTTCTTCTGTGAATATCCAGTCTGGAAACACAATGTTTTTAAGCCTGTGTGTATTTACTTAAACACTTGTTTTGCCCTTTTCTGTGGCACCAATTTTTTTATAGTCTTGTTTTAGTTGCCTCAAGAGCAAAGTGTTTTTTAAATATACCCCATTTTCTGAATCAGTTTATGATTTATTGATATGAAGTGCTATAAAGTTCAAGCTCACATCTAATTAAAAGATTTATGAATACCTTGGGAAATATCACAGAAGCCATAAGCTTTCAAATCATGGTCTGATTTTTAAAGTTTTCAAGTTGCTCTTCTCTTCATTCTTCTAGAGCAATGCACTTAATATTCATAATTGCTTCATGACAGGTCCTTGTGCATTCCAAATTGCTAAGTGCCTGCATTTTAAAGAAGCTCATGTTGATTAAATGAAATTAGGTGTTGGAAAATGACCTGTAGGTGAGATGCGAGAGCACAACCAAATAGGATGGATAATCTTGGGCTTGTCAGAATCATCCTGGGATGAGATTAGTCAGAAAATGTGAAAAGCCAGGGTGACCCCCAAATTTATGAGAACTCAACCTTCATATAGAGTGAGGTTGTTTTATTTGCTTTGTGTATGAGATGTGACTCTAAAGTATTGGAATTGATTCTACAACTACACACTAAAACCATCCTCACTTCTTAGAACCGCATATAAATATACATGATACATAGTAATATATAGTTATATTGCCAACTTTCTCTCCTCCCTAGAAAGATAAATATAGGGGTAGCACGGAGTAGTATAAAAACCATGAATCTTGAAATCAAATCCAGGTTGGATTCCCTGTTCTCTCACTTACTAAAATGTGACCTTAGGCAAGTCACTTAGGTCCTTGGGCTTCAGTTTTCTCAACTAGAAAAGGGAGATAAAATATCTACCTTGTTTGGTGGTGCCTGGGGTGCCTCAGTTGAGCATCTGACTCTTGGTTTCAGCTCAGGTCATGATCTCAGGGTCCTGAGATGGAGCCCCTGCAACGGCAGGCTCTGTGCTCAGCAGAGTCTGATGGTCCCTCTGCCCCTCCCCCGCTGGTGTGCACTCACGCTCTCTCTCTCTCTTTCTCTCTCAAATAAATAAAATCTTTAAAAAAATACATATATACCTTGCTTGCATAGTGAAGGATACAATAATAAACTTTGATAACATATTATAACCCTATGATAGGCTAAGTCATATTATAAGTAATTTACATGAATTAACGTACAACCCCAAACAGTAGATAATATCCTCCTCATTTTATAGTTAAGGAATCTGACTCAGAGAGGAGTTAAATGACTTGACCAAGGTCACACAGCAGTTAGTGGCACAGACGGGATTTGAACAGTTTACCAGGCACAAAAGCCTCCACTCTTAGTCACCACGTTTCACTGCCACTGTGAGTAGTGAGAGATTATGTGCATAAAATTTACAACAAGTGCCTAAAATGTGGTAGTCACACATGAAATCGCATCTTAAATAGTTATTATTATTCAGATGTCACCAGACGTAAAGAAACTCTCTTATGCCAGTCTCAAGGTAAAAGAAAACAGATGACTGAAATCTACAGAAAATCTTAGTCATTTTGGCCAAGAGTTTCAAGGCTTCTGCTACATCAGAATATGAACCAAAAGCTGAAAACAAGTAACTAAATCAACATGCTGGTGAAAACTCAAAGGAGCAGGAAAATATCCCTAGTCTAGCTTTTAGGATGCAAGAAGGAAAAGCAAAAAGGCAGTAGAATCCACAAGTAGGATAATCAACCTCCAGAAAATTAAGAGAGACTCCAAGTGATAGCGGAGAACTCCAAGGGCCGTGCTGACTTGTAAATGTCAGTGGCTGTGATACACATTCTTCCTACAAGGCAGTGCTCCCCTCGAACGCAGCAATAGAAAGAAGCACATGTTGAGTTTAAATTGTAACTACAAACATTTAGCTATTCAGGGATCATCTTCCTACATTTGTTCTAGAACCCAACATGTCAATTCATTTTTTTTAACCCTGGATTACTCAGATAATTGTGGGGAAGCCTTTGGCAAAGTATTTCTAAAGTTACAGGTACCGGAATATAGAATTTATCTATAATGTGTCAGTGCCAAAAGAAATAGTTGTTTAAATTACAGCAAGTTTCTCTAGAGTGGACCAGGTCATTCCCCTTGTTCATGATTGTGTTATATATCAAGCTTAAGACCTTTCCCTGTGAAAATGACACCAGGGTTGTCATTCAACAAATATTTATTGATCCCTAATAGGCCCTGTGCTGTGTATACCAGCAGACAATCAAAATATGGTCCCTTCTCTTACAAATTCACTGTTTCCCTTCATTCTCCTGCGTTGGAAACCTGCTTGGGGGTATAAGAGGAAATGAAAAATAGGGGACAGCACTGTCATTAAGTAATCTATATGTAAGCTTTTTTCCCTCTGTGTAGTCAGTATGCACCCCTTCTCAAGATCTTTGGAGAGATGTCTCTTCAGTGGCGTACGAACACTAACATTAATTAAATACCTCCTCTGTGCCAGGCACTGACTGTGGTACCATAAATAAATTACCCAATTTAATTCTAACGATCCCAACCCAGAGACAAGGAAATAGAATCTCAAAGTGGATAAGCAGCTCACCTAAAGTCAGAAGCTAGGAAGTGTTCATTTACTAATGGTGATAAACTGGTGTAGCACATAAGTAACCAGGATCTGTGAGGATATAATATGGTTAAAAGATGAATAGGTGCAAACCAAGAGGATCAGAAAGAGCAGATAATAACTACTCCAGATCTCACTGCTAGTAACTCTCCTGGGTGCTCTTAAGACTTCTTGTGAAATTCTAAATTCTAACAAATACTATGTTTCTCTCTGCAGAAGGCCGATGCCGTGCGCGTGATTACATTCACGGGCTGTATGGGAGAAACCTACTTTGACAGCAAACCTATAGGGTTGTGGAATTTCCGAGAAAAAGAAGGTGACTGCGAAGGATGTACTGTCAGGTGAGTTGAAATGAGGACTCCCCTAAGGTCTGGCCTGTGCCTCACAAAAACTTTAATTTTGTTGTGCAATATTCGATTATCGTGTGGATGATATGGAGCAGGTTGGATGGGATTATGTCAGGGGGTGATTTTTCATGATAAAAGTTCAAATTCTTTCACCCATTTGTACGAGTACTTTCCAAAGCTCTGGGAGGTGCCCTGGCAGTACTTTGAATGTATTTGTAAAATCTGCAAGGAAAGGTATTTTCTCCTCAATCAGTTGAGACTACTATCTCTTTCCACTCCAACTTCCCTCCATGTCCAGAACTAGGAGGTTTTTCATATCTGTAGCTCTGCTCTCATCATAATTTCTTTTTTTTCTTAAAGAGAGTTTTCCCTGAACTGATTAAGCTTCAGGTGTCACAGAGCCTTGGACTCACTCCACTTAGGTTTATAACAAAATATAGAATGCTAGTACAAGTGTTATCTCCGACAGGATTTTCCACATGACACATACGGTCCCGGCAGTGTTTCAAGTGGAGACCCATTGGACTTGAAGATTCTGCTTAAGTGGAGAAGGATAAGAAGGGGCCAAGATAGGCCAGGAGAAAGTGCCATAACGCACATCATCAATTACTACACAGAGGTTAGAGTGTAGGAATCTAAAAATATTTAACAAGCAGACAAAGCATATGTAGAGAATAAATATTCTTATACAAACCTGAAGAGAGGATATAAAACAATTAGCTAGAAGGGCAGGATTTCTCAGCATAAGAAACTTGAGCCCAGCTAATCAACTGAGCCTATTAAAACTATAAAATTTAAATTAAAATACCTAGATGCTTAATATACATACATAGCAACTCCAAATCATTAGGTGCTATGTGGTTCATATTTTTTATTTCCAATTTTAAAGAGCACATGCACGTTACCAGGGCCCCGAATTCCCATCAGTGTAGCAGAGTGCACTTTACTTCCAGTTTAACTTACAACTCTTTATTTCTGTCATCATGGACTTGTCAATGCAGCATTGAAGACAGTTTAAAAGCCTAACCCATTCACAGTTTAGATTGGTTTGGTGAATACTCTTCAACAAAATCTACTACGGAATGTTTTCTGTAAAATGTTTTCAATACGACAAGGACAATGAAGTTCACGTTAATATTCCTTTACTCATAAATTAATGCCAACTTTTCCCTGAACATTTATTTAGTAAATTTATAAAAAGGATTTTCAAAAGCCTATCATCAACAAAACATCTAAGGATTTAAATGTCCATTCAGCAGTGCATATAATGTGTTAGGACTATAACATGCTAATTATAAATTCTGCAAAGATCTTGTACCTTAGTATCTAAAGTATTATATGAATTAATATAATAGTATATATGTGTGTGTATACACACACACACACACACACACACATTTATAGGATGTTTTTAAGGTGCCAGAGATTCACACGTAGAACTTCCTTATACGGAGATGAATATAGTCCAGGGCTAGCCATCAAGTAATTCACAGCCAGGAAGGGAGGAAAAGACAAACCCTAAAATAATCAAAATGCAAGGGATAATAAAAAATCCCTTTAAAAACACACTCAGAGTATAGTATGATTATTCACAGAGGGTTAGATCTGCTTCATAGAGGAGGTGGTATCTGGGGTGGGCCTTGCTGTGGAATCAGATTCCAGAGGGGAGCTGGCAAACAAAGGTGAAGAGCATTCTAGTCCCAGGGACCAGTGAGGGCAAAGGTAGGAAGGCTGGAAGGCCAGAGTGTTTTTAGGAGGGGACAAGTAAAATCTGTTCTGCTTCATAAGCGTGAATTTGCTCAGGCAGAATTGGCAAAGGGGACAATGATGTCAGTAGGTGCCAAAGTCAGGTAGGTTCCTACACAGTTCTTCCCAGTGTGTAAAGGTTTTGCACCACTAAGTAAAGGCAGCTGAATGTAAAGTCTACCAGCATAGCTGAGTTTACCAAGCTCAAGCCTACACACAGTGCCTCTTCATCCATGAACTTGCCCTTGGTTTGGCCAAGCACTCTGTCTTAGAAGTTCATCGCTCAGTTCCCGCCCAATCATTGTGCATTTTTACCACCTCTATCACTCAGCACTGTCAACCCTTCCTTAAGCTCCTTGCCATCAAGTTACTTTTACCTATACCCTTGAAGGTAAAGTTTTATATTTACTGAAAGAATTCTTCAATTTAAATTTTATAGCATACCTTTTTGAATTATGCTGATATTTTGATCAAGATTGTGATTGTTTCTGTGAGTGCCCTGACTATAAAGTTGCATAAGTTTTGAGTGACCTGCACCAACCCTATTTTCCCATAAACCTTGGTGTGTATGTGTAGGAATAATTTTTACAGAACTCCTGGTGTTTGTTAGGTTGTGTTCAAGAGAATACATATCACATTTTAACATAAAGACCCATCGTTCCAGTGTAAGAGCAGAAATGATTATGTGTGGGAGATGTAAAAGATGAGGCTATAGGACATAGACTAAGAACATGTTGTCGATCTTAGAATGTCCGTTTTAGAAATTTGCATTTATTCAGTAATCAGGAAAAAGGATATAATTGTTGTTATGCTTCAAAAAGAGTTATCTGCCAGGACTATAAGAAAAGAACTATATCTTATTTTTCTTAAACTTCTAAAACTCACATTAAAATTAAAATAGAAAAAAAACTGCCGGGGCGCCTGTGTGGCTCGGTCGTTAGGCGTCTGCCTTCGGCTCAGGTCATGATCCCGGGGTGCTGGGATCGAGCCCCGCATCGGGCTCCCTGCTCCGCGGGAAGCCTGCTTCTCCCTCTCCCACTCCCCCTGCTTGTGTTCCCTCTCTCACTGTCTCTCTCTGTCTCTGTCAAATAAATAAATAAAATCTTTAAAAAAAAAAAAAAAAACTGCCACAAGTTTAATGTATTTACTCAACACTGAAACAATGATGGAATGTTAATATACTAAATAAACCCCAATATACATCTGGTTCTATAGTTAACAAGTGACATGTGGAAGAACATGGCTGTTCCAAATAACATAATTAATCCTTAATAACTTGACCAGACATCAAGGTTCAAAAGAGAAACAAGAGGCAAGTTAAGTTTAGCAAATGTTAATTATAAAAAAAAAAAAAAAAAAAAAGTTACTTTTCCTGGTAAATGTATTCAAACATGAATAAGAACACTCTAATGTTAGATGTTGAGATATTATAGACTACGCCTGGAAGGACTCATTTTTTTCCCTATCTCAAACTCACCAAGTTAAAACCAGACTTACCTGGGTTTGGCCAGTGAGTTAAGGGGGGGTAGGCTGATCCACATCTGTGTGTTTAGCTGTTCTCAGCACAAAACCCTTCCCTGCAGATTTGCCTTTTGCTTGAATATGAGAATTTTCTAAAGGGCTGGAATATGAATAGGCCATAGAAATCATTCACTGATCTAACCCTTTTATCTCAAGGTAACACCCTAAGGGTTAGGTGACTTGCTGCAGGATCTCAGTGAGATTCCACATCAGACTCCAGGGTACCTGCCATCGACTTGGCTATTTCTTTTATTCACCTTGAAGGAATCAATAGATTAAGGACACAAAGACATCAGGTTATAAATATCCCAGAGTTCTTATACAAAAAAAAAAAGTGATGTTTTTTATTCCAATGCTTGTTCTGTGTAGTGAGATTTTGTGTGTGTTTGTTTGTTTAAATTATAAATAACAGTGCATTGTGTTAAAACATCCAGAAAACTGTCAACAGTGACTCCCACAACCCTTTCCAGGGTCATCAATGATAGTGTGACAGCATAAAATGCAAAATTCTAGTATTTGAGAACTACAAGGGACTTCTCTTTAGTAGACTGCACACAGCATTCTCTTCTCTCTAATGCAGTGATCCAGAAATTAATGAATTTGTCATAATGATGAAGAAAGGCCAAATCATAGCCAATTTATTCACTATCAATTATACAGTTAATAGTCTGATTTAGTTCCTTAAACTTTCCGTTAGCACTTTGCAGGAATACTGAAAAGTATCTTTTAAGTTTACATTAGAAAAAAAAATTATGACATCATCTGATCTTACTCCAAATTAGATATAACTTAAAATTACAAGGATCTGACCATGCAAGACACAGAGTAAGACTCTTCCCTTCTTTTCTTTTTGTCTTCAGTTTTATTTCTGATCCAGGAATATAGAGAAAGCCAACTTGTCTAAAATGTGGAACAGTTCTTCCTTCATGAGCCTGTTAATGTTCGTACACTATCATTTTTCTCATTTAGCCAAGATTTCATGCAAATGATATTCTAGGCTCTTGTTATTTTACAATGACATTACTATAATGTTTCTCCATATCTCCTCTCTACCCTCAAGTTAATACAACACTCCAATTTCAGAGATTCAAATATATGCTAACATGCAGATCTTTAAAGTTTTAAAAAGTCTCCACAATTTGAGACTTACTCTGTAATAACATCATTAGGTAGATTGATTGATAGATGATAGAAAACCGCATTTGAAAAAGAAATGTTCTTAAATGTTATTTTTACAAGGTTTATCTTAAATATTTCTTAATTATTCAACCAACATTGATTGAACATATAGTCTCTGTGGGGCAATCTGCTATACTAAAATCTCCTTCATTTGACATATGCCATATTCTACTCTGGGCCACGTGCCACACTAGGTGCTGAGTTTGTGCCTGACATAGAGCCTGACCCATAATCTCTAGTTGGTCTCATAGAGCTTGCAATCTATTAAAGAAAAACAGATAACCACTGAGATAAATAGAGGCATCCTTTATTGTCTTAATCTAATTTGTCCCAGAAAAATCTATTGGACAGCAACTATTCAGAGAGTAGAGACCTTTATTCCATCATGGGTGTTTTTTTTTTCTTATAACTCTAAGTACGTATCTTTTGACCACCTTCACTCATTGTACCCAAACCCCCCCATTATCTTATGCATATGAGAAATGTAATAAGACATTATCAGTCCATCCAAAACCCCACCTCTTCACACCACTAAGACACAGTTAAATACCAATATAACTATCCACCAAGTATTTCAAGAGAACATAAAGCATTTAAAACATCAGTGACTTAGTTACTGAACACCAAATAAAGTCCAGGTGAGAAGTGATTGCTGCTTGGTCTAGAATGATGGCAGTGGAGATGGAGAAAAATGGAAGGATGGAAGATCTATTTGGGATGGTTCCTGTCCTATAACAGCTCACAATCTAATCTCAGAAGACAATTTGATGTATTGAATACTGATGGACAAAACAGACATTGGTTCATGTGAAATGTCTCTCTTCAGTCCTCAGGTAGAAGATAGTGAAGGGACTATTCAGTTTGATGGAGAAGGGTACGCATTGGTCAGCCGCCCCATTCGCTGGTACCCCAACATCTCAACTGTCATGTTCAAGTTCAGGACATTTTCTTCAAGTGCTCTCCTGATGTACCTTGCCACACGAGACCTGGTAAAGACATACATGGCTGATCTTCCATAATTAAAAATGTTTGCCTCTTTTCTGTAGGATTCCAATACAATTATCAGTTATTGTTAAATTATCAATTATTATTCAAAGGATTCCAGGATGCTGTGTGATAACCAAGAGTAGGTGATACAGATAGTACTTTATATATTTTCATTGATAAATTCAATTACAGATGCAATTATTATTTATTTTCAATGCAGCTCCCCATATAATCCTTTATGAGAAGCACCCAGTAAAGATTCCTCCAATATGGAATCATGCAGCAGCAAAACTGCTCCCTTCATCTTCTAAAGACCTAAGTTGAAAGGTGGTTCTAAATGTCCTCATTATTTTTTCCAGGTTAATATTTCTTAGTAAATTCTTCCAGGGAACATATCTTTTAGTTGGCTTAATATGTTTTCAGAGGAACCTCCTTTATTCTCCTATCATTAAAGATATGTCCTAGTAATTTGGTTGTGACCATTTACACCATAATGTCACACCCACAAACCTTCACAAAGTAGTAACACCAATTCTATTTCTAAAATGGATATCATTTACAGATCAACACATTCAGTAACTTAGCCATAAGGCCCTATTATAAACCCCACACAAAAAAGTGAATACTCCTATTTCTCTGTGTATTGAATCACTGGTGTATTTTTACTCTATTAATAGAAAGATTTCATGAGTGTAGAGCTCACTGATGGGCATGTAAAAGTCAGCTATGATCTGGGTTCAGGAATGGCTTCTGTTGTCAGCAATCAAAACCATAATGACGGGAAATGGAAATCCTTCACCCTGTCAAGAATTCAGAAACAAGGTGAGTTTCTATAGTAATAATGCACTGTGAGCCTTAATCATGCTATCCAACCCTCCTGTGTACCTAATCATGAGGAGGACCCTGTGTCTCTGATTTTAGGGACTCACAAATTCTGTGAAAAATGGATCCAATCATTTCTTTGGCTTAGATTATAGGTGACTTGGGTTACACATGACTGATTGAAGAGCCAAATGGTTCTCTGTCATTTTCTTTGGAAACTGAGAGCTTAATTTGAAAGCATAAAACTGTCTTACAACTTGTAAAATTATATCCTGTACTAGGTTTGAAAAGGTTGTGTGCTTTTTTTCTCATCTTGTTTTACCAAGATGTTGTAATTATAGTGGCCCACTCGTCGAATTTATAGGGGTGATAGAACACGGTGACCAGGTCTTTGCTTTTTAAAAATGCCAAACATTTGTATGTATGCAAGTAAGGAATTGAATAATAATAATGTAACATTTTTATAGTCCAGGAACTCTTTAAAAATATACTCACAAACATTTTTTCATTTGCTGAGATAAGCAGGTATTTTGTTCTGGTGTTAGAGAAAGGGAAACAGGCTCAGACTTACACGTGGTCAAAGACGTATGTATGTAAGCTCTCACAACCAAGGCAGAAATCCAAATATGTTAGGTCTTCGTGTGCTGCTACTGTTATTTCAGTATAATTCCCCTAATTCTGTGCACTATAGTACTACCAATATCTGCAAATGAAATTTGATGCTTCTGTTTATAAAATTAAAGCCTAATTAATTTTGACCATGCCAGTGTGACATTTCATGAGAATTTCAGTTTAACTTTGCACCATCCTTCACTTCCTGCATTTAACAAGTATCTGGCAAGCACCCACTAACTATTGTACCAGACCTGAGTGAGGTCTGTGACAAGTCCTTGCCTTCAAGGAACGTGCGGTCTACTGGGGAGATAGACAAACAAATCAATGGTGAGAGGATAGAAAGCGGAGAGCTGCATCAAGATAGGTACAGTAGGCTAGGAATCACAGGAGAGAGATGTTCAGGTCACACCGAGAGGTCAGCTCCTTGAGGCACAAGCCGGAGTTGAGGATTTCACTGGATGGGCAGTGCCTTTGGACATTTCAGGGAGGTGACAGTAGTGTGAAAGCCGGGAGGCCTCAGCATTATCCATCATCGTTCATCATTTTCCAGGTGCTCATCCTTGGAATGTGGAGGCCTGGAGAAACTCTTCTGTTTGAACAAAAACTGGTTAGCGCTTATATAAGTTGCAGGATGACCTTATACATCGTTCCCACATCAGGGAGGCACATTTGCATGGGAGAGGGAGAGGCTCTGCAGAGTAGTTAAGAAGAATGTTTAACTCCGGGCACCTGGGTGGCTCAGTCGTTAAGCGTCTGCCTTCAGCTCAGGTCACGATCCCGGGGTCCTGGGATCGAGTCCCACGTCGGGCTCCCTGCTCCGCGGGAAGCCTGCTTCTCCCTCTCCCACTCCCCCTGCTTGCGTTCCCTCTCTCGCTGTGTCTCTCTCTGTCAAAGAAATAAATAAAATCTAAAAAAAAAAAAAAAGAAGAAGAATGTTTAACTCCATTTGACCCAACATTTCCCAAACTTCTACAATCTCCAAAATCTCTCCATTCCTGCTGAACACACTTTGGGAAATGCTTTAGTTCATGCTGAGGAGTGAGAATTTCCTGTCCTTTTCTGGGTCCTTCTAGCCTGATTCAGAATCAAATTGACATGAGACAGATGACCAGGACAAAATCAAATTTAATTTTGTACAGGCAGGGAATCCACACACACATGGGAATTCCGAAGATAGGCAAAATCAGGTACACAGGTCTTTCTGAACTAAGAAAAGGGTAGGGGTCTGGGACTTCAAAGGGAAGAATGCAGTTTATAGGAAGATAAAAATAACAACAAAAAGGGTAAATGTTTGGTAAATAAATGTTGGTTGAACCACTCAATGGACAAAGGGGACTTCAATCAAACTTTGCTAAGTTTCTCCCTGTCTACCATTGTTCACGTATAATGTAGTTATCTCCGGTGATAGTGCTCTTCCTGGGGCAGGTCCTCTACCTAAATTCTTTTTAGGCATTGGTGGGGGAGGTAAAGGGCTCTTCCAGAATCTACTGGGTTTTGATGGCTTTTTTTTCCCCCCTCCAAGTTTTTATTTAAATTCCAGCTAGTTAACATACAGTGCAATATGTGTTTCAGGTGTAGAACTCAGTGATTCATCACATCCATACCCAGTGCTCATCACAGCAAGTGCTTTCCTTGATAACCATTACCTATTTAACACCTCCCCACCCCCATCTCCCCTCCAGTAACCATAAGATTGTCCTCTGTAGTTAAGAGTCTGTTTCTTGGTTTACCTTTTTCCCCGCACCCCCCCCATGTTCATTTGTTTCCTGAATTCCATGTATGAGTGAAATCATATGGTATCTGTCTTTCTCTGACTGACTCATTTAGCTTAAGCATAATCCTCTCTAGCTCCATCCACATCATTGCAAATGGTTTTGATTGCTTTTTGACTCAAACTAACCTTCATGTCAGAGTGGTCCATCTTGGGGTAGCCTGCCCTGGGCCCCTACAGTTACTACAAGTAAATCCATAGCCTAACAGGATGAATGTTGGCAAAAAAGTATCAGATGAGGCTAGAGAGATAACAGAGCCAGTTCATAAAAGGCCTTGTGAACTAAGCTAATGAGCTTCAACTTTATCCTGAAATCTATAGGGAACTACTAAGAGTTTTAATCGAGGATGTGACACCATCAGATTTGTGCTTTAGTAAAGTTTCCTTAGAAAACTTTGGAGGGTAGATTTATGACAATTTCAGGGGCTACTGCGGTCTGTAGTAAACCAAGTGAAGAGTGAGGAGAAGGAAACCATGAGAATGGAGAGGAAAGAGTAGAATTGAAAGATATTAAGCATTTTACAGTCAAGGAGCTTTGTGATATATTCAATGTGGAGGATAAATGTTTTAAAAAGGGATGTCAAGAATAATTCCTTTTTTTTCCTTAAATAACAAAAATATTTTAGTGAAGTCATATGGTACTGAATATAAAAAAGAATAGGTTTTCTAGAAAAGATGCTGAGTTCTATTTTGGACATATTGTATTAAAAGTACTCTTAACATCTTTAGCAGCCTAGGCAAGCTGTGTAATTGGCAGGCAATCAGTTGCATGTACCTGAGGTTTAGCAGAGCTGTAGGAGAGATGGACAGTTTAGAATCATTATCATGCCATTAATAGTTATGGCTGAATAGGGATGAGAAAAACCAAGCAGTCATTTCTAGAGTGAGATGATCCAAAGCCCTGCAGCAAATAGCAGTGTTGAAGGGATATAGTAAAGGTAGACCCCACAAAGGGGGCTGTAAAGAAATAATCAGAGAAAGGAGAAATGAGGAAGATAAATTTTCAGAAGATCAAACCGAAAGCAGAGTGACAAATTAGGTTCAAGAACAGTCCAGGCAGGAGATGAATGATGGCTTGAAATAAGAGTTATAATGGGCTTTGACACTAGGGAAATGCAAAATAAATCCACAAGGTGATACCACCATATAGTTATTACAATGCCGACAGTTAAAAAGACTGAACACGGGGCACCTGGGTGGCTTAGTCATTAAGTGTCTGCCTTCAGCTCAGGTCATGATCCCAGGGTCCTGGGATCGAGTCCCACATTGGGCTCCCTGCTCATCAGGAAGCCTGCTTCTCCCTCTCCCACTCCCCCTTGTTTGTGTTCCCTCTCTCACTGTCTCTCTCTCTCTCTCTGTCAAAAAATAAATAAAATCTTAAAAAAAAAAAAAGACTGAACATACTCAAGGCTGGAAAGAATGTGGAGCAACTGGAATTCTTACACTGTGCTGATGAGGATAGAAAATGTACAGCCACATTGGGAAATAGGTTAGCAGTTTCTTAACAGCTTAAATATATACGGACTGTGTGAACCAGCCATTCCACTCCTAAGCATTCACCCAAGACACATTAAGCATATATCCATACAAAGAATTGTACCAGAATGTCCACAGCGTCTTTATTGGTGACACCCAAAAAACAAAAAAATAACGAAAACAGGTTAATTTATTAACGGATTAATAGATAAATAGATTGTTGGATATTGTCACAATGGAATACTATTTAGCAATAAAAAATAATGAGCTATTAAAATGCACACAAAATGGATGACTAGCAAAATAAATATTCTTAGCCAAAGAAGGCAGACATAAAAGAATACATTTATGTCAAGTATGTAGAAAACACAAATGAACCAATAGTCACAGAAAGCAGATAGAGGCTATGAAGAATGAGGTTCCAGAGGGAGGCCCAGGAAGGAGGGATGACAAAGAGGCATAAGAAGACTTTTGGGGTGATGGGTAGGTTTAGTTTTTTGACTGTGGTGATGGTCTCATGGATGCATACATATCTAAAAACTTGCTAAATTGTATACTTTGAACATAAGCAACTTTTACTATGTCACTTCAGCATTATTTAAGAGATGAAATTAGTAGGGCTGTTGACTGATTAGTTGTGGAATGGTGAGGGGACTGAAGTCCAGAGAAGATACACAGACGATGCTGTCTCATCTGTTGAATGTGGATTTCTAGGCAAAAGTCAGGTGCAGGCATATATATTTCTGAATTGTCAACATATAGTAAATAGATAGAAACTGGAGGTTACCTGGATAGCTAAAACCTGAGAAGTGGCCAAATGAAGACACATTAGGGAACAGAGCACTTCAGAAAGTGTTCAAAGACATAAGTCACAGAGAAGGAAATTGAGAATGAAGTTGGAAAGATGCAAAGAGCCGGAGAGGCTGGTATTAGGGAAGCCAAAAGAGGAAATTTCCTAGAAGGAAGGAAATGTGAACAGCATCAAATACTGCACGGACGGGGATGAAGATAAGGACCAAAAGACCCCACTGGGTTTGGATGTGGGGAGGTCCCTGCAGATTTGAGCAAGATTAGATTCCTCAGAGCAGTAGGATAGGAATTCAAATAAGCCTCCAGCAATGTGACCATTCCTCCTTTTTAGCGGCCAGATTAGTTGTTTTATACGAGTTGTTCTCAGCTAGTTTATAGAAGCACTGCCCCTTGAAATTCATATATACTCCATCAGGGGGCATTCGGCATCTTCCCTGAGAGTCAGTTAGTAGAACCACGGCCACCACAAGGAGCACGCCATATCCCTCAAGGGCACTGATATGAACACAAGATGGAGAATGATCGTTAGATTTTCATTGAGCTGAGAGAGAGAAGAAAGGAATTACCAGAGTAACAATTAATTTACAACTCAGCATTGATTATAAAACACTTGCTAAGCCCCTACTCTTTGTCTAGTATTTAATAAAACCCTTATTTCCCTGCTTACCCAATGATGTCTGAACTCATCAGCTCTGAAATTTTGTGTGAATAGCTACTCTGTAAGGGAAAGAAATAGGGCAGGAAATAAAAGCAAGTATTGGCATTTCATAGCAGAGCCCACTTCATTGCCATCACTCATGAAGGAGAGAGTAAAGCCCTTCCTTTAACTCAGTAAAAATATGCCATCCTGCGTCTGTCTGCTGGAGTTAACGCTTGGGCCAGTGAGTTTCAATTCAATGTATTTTTGCACTTTAATCAGTTTTTCTTAGAATGGTTTCCAAAAATGCATATATTCACTCAGGAATAAGGGGGAAAACTACCTCCAGTCACTGGCTTGCCTGTGATAGAGAGGCAGAATCTCATTTTCACAGATACCATTAAAATATGCACCAGATCTGTAGAAAGAGCTATTTTCATGTTCCAGTCAACAGCTCCATATGAAAACCTCTTTGCTGATCTGGATAAAAAGGAATGTGTATGAAAAAGTCTTGAAAATGGTTTTATAATTTTTTTTTATTTTAGCCACCAGTCCAGTCAAAAGGATATGTGCATATAAAATTAATATATATATGAAAGTAATTAAACTTTTAAATCTTGACTTGCTAAGTATTTTTTAATAGGACAATTATTTAACAGGTGTTTTTTGTTTGTTTTTACAAAGCTCTACTTTGAAGATTTGAGGTATTGGTTTGGTATTTTATTTTGGTCATTTATTAATAAGATAATTATGTTTGGTTTTTATTAAAGATACTTTCTACAGATTACAGTGGAATTTTAGAGTTTGATATTTTTTCTTTGTTTTTCGAAGAACACTATCCTAAAAGATGATGTGTTAAGGAAAAATAATAATGCTCCATGGTCAAATAAATTTGAGAAATACTTCTTGCTCTATATCCCCCTGTTGGAGCATTACATTGATACTGGTATGTCAAAAGATCTGGGCAGTCATAAAATTAAAATATACGTTTAATTTTGCTTAACCCAATGTTTGTCATGTTTATTTGAACCAGGAACACCCAGGAAACTAGTGTTTAGAAATACCCTTATAATCCACTGGTTCAAATAGCCGTTTTCAGACCCTCACTAATTCAGATCCAATATGAGGCAAAGATTTAGAGGCCAAATCTGTCATGTTAATGAACTGATGCCTCAGCATGCATTGCGGGTCCAAAATATATAAAGCAGTTAAAGGCTGGGCCTAAACAAATATGGTGAGAGAGCACATAGTTCAGAAAGAGCCTAGCCTGACTCTCAAAAATAAAGGGGAGAAAAATCAATGAGTTAAGGGGTTCCCATCTGCTTTCTGAAAAAAACAGTTTAAATAGGGAAATGCCTCTCTTCTTTCCTTTGTCTGGCTGTTATTTTTATGCCCTTTTTGTGGATAGTTTAATAATTTATTTTATCAATGTCATTGTTTCTGCAGTTATTATACAGATGCTTGAGAATGTCAATGTTAATTTGAGAATGAAAGTAAATTTATCTTGAAGTAACAGTGATCATACAGATGTGGTTGGCCTTGCTCAAGTAAGCCTTTTCTTTCCTTTACAGCCAACATATCAATTGTAGACATAGACACTAACCAGGAGGAGAGCATAGCAACTTCATCTTCTGGAAACAACTTTGGTCTTGACTTAAAAGCAGATGACAAAATATATTTTGGTGGTCTGCCAACACTGAGAAACTTGAGGTAATTTAGTGTCTGTTTAGAGCTAAGGATTAAGTTTTAATTAAATGGCCACTCTGCTCTGTAGAGTTCTGAAGTTTAATTACAACAGGAATGTCACATAACCTTTAGTTGCAGAAAGGCTTAACTAAAAAAAAAAAAAAAAAATCATGTGGCATGTTAGAACACCGGGATTTAGAAACCCAAGGATTAATTTGATATCTTTGTTGAAGAGATGGATGGGAATCATGATTTCTCTCATATTCACCTGATGGAAAGAATTATAAAAGTAATTAAAGATGGAAACTAGAGTTGAATGTGCATCTTGTAATTGCCGTTCCCCTTGCACTGTCGCTAGAGATAATGGGAAGCTGACACTGCTTAGTGTTCTAAAAATCAGTCAGTGTTCCAGGATCCTGGGAGTATAACCTATTTTATTGCTAAGCATTAGCATGCTAATGATATGTTGGAGCTTTCCCATATGCCTAATGCTAAAGCTATATTAGGTATTCTCAAGCCCATGCCAATATTTTTTTTTTAATTTCACATATGTTTTATAGATAGCAGGATGGGGAGATATAATTAACTCATAGTTTAGTTCAAAAAATAAATGCAAGTAACTAAAAAAAATCTAAGAAAATATTTCATATGGTATTTAATTAATTTACTGCTTGTTGTAAAACATCTCATAAGAAATAGAAGTTATAAAGCACTTGATGCTCAATAAATGTAATTGAATGTAACTAGAATGGAATGAATTGATTTGGTTAAACCATAAGAGTTTGCTGCAAATACAGACTACCATGTTTTAAATTTTTGTTTTGTTTAGTTAGTTTTTAGTGGTTATAAATGTCCTATCTCGGTGTTTCTACTCTAAAAAGACACACCATGATTGGAGGGAATCTCAGAATAATTAAAAAGTATGGTAGTCAGTTGTTCTCGTATTTTCCAAATGAGCAGAGGAATTTCAACCTCATTTTATGATAGCTAGCATACAGACTGAGTTTTACTCTTCTCCCTGTACCTAAACTCATAGACCAGGCAACTAATTACCAGTCTTTCAAGGGTTTACGTTAATACGCTTCATGGGGCAGATAAACTGGTTCTGCATTCATCCACACTATAATGTACTTGTGTTAGGATTGTAAACTTAAAGTGTCTGGTCAGAAAAACCATTGCAGATCAGATATATTTGAATAATGATGTAGTGATTACTCAAAAATCTATTTATTCAGGCAACAAGTATTTGTTGAACATCTACTCTGTGTCAGACACCATAGAAATACTAGGGATCCAACAGTTGCTTAAGTCTAAGATTTATTTTGCAAGATCATTCAGTAAATTCCCTTTAAGTGAAAATAAGGCTATCAAGGCACTGCTTTATATACTCTAGTAATGACTTAGTTTTAATTACCATAAAGTGATTTTTAGGTATTACCTACAAAGGTGTATATGTTGAACTACGTGGAGATGGGTTTATGTATTAGCTTTCAGACTACATATCTAATGAGTCTGTATCACTAAGATGTTTTTACTTGCACAGTACAGCATTTTATAATATTTCTATGGCATGGCACATTATTCCAGTACAATCTTTAGACATATATCTGTGATTAAGCAAGGAGCCACACATTCATAGTTTGCTGTTATTTTGCCCACAGACAGGATCGTAATATGATAAAGTTCAAAAGATGAGGTAAACAGAAATTATTTTTACTTATATTAATTTCAAGCTCCTTGAGAAGCAGTATTTATCAGCTACTCATGAATACTACAGCATAGCAACATTTGTGCATTTTCCCATTCGTAAAATAGATTAAAATTAGTATTTTAAATTTCTACTTCAAAATAAAAATTTCCCAAAAGAATAGTATGGAAAATGGTCATCTTTGGATTCTCATTCCACTGTGGTCAAGGGCATATGTCTGTTTTCTGTTCTGTTGGTTTTGTTACATTCCCTTCCTTTTAAGATCCCTGTGAGATACTTTTTAAAAAGACTTATGATTAAAGTTTATTGTTTTACTAAATGAAAATGCAATTATAAGTAAATTCTGTTTTTCTTTTCTCTTCCCTTTGACCTAGTATGAAAGCAAGGTAAAATTTAAATTATGCATGCCTTCTTCAAGTGCATGGGTTGGGCAAATGTGGCTTCTTAGATAAAGCCGTGGAGATGAAGAACAACACCTATGCAGCTTTATTCCTAGTACATTTCATGAGCACGTACTGCATCCTGAGAGTTCTCATGCTGTCCTTTACTTACAAAGATGCTGCTGCTCACCCACCGTGAACTGGGCTGCAATTTCACTTGTTTCACCAGCCACAGCCACCAGGACGGATTTGCTCTGCTTTTCTCAACTGCCCGTGCACAGTGCCCCCTGGCGCAGATATGCGGCAGCACACGTGCAAAGGGCAGCTGGTCAGGTTTACCAGCACAGTGTAGTTCAGCGGAACAGAGCAAAGTTGTCTGATGGGTTGAACCCTGGACCCCCATCTCTGTAGCACTATGCTGTCTGCTGAACAATCAGCCTGTGCTCCCAAATGCTCACCAATGCGTTGCTGCTTTTTGCAAGCCTGCAAATATGCAAACGTTTACAGGGCCCTTGCACCTCTTCACAAAGCTGCTTATTTATCGATTTGTTTATTTAGAATTAGCTCTGAAGCCAGATAAAAGGAACCTCTGGAAATACTATACTTAAAACAAGTGTTTGCCTTGATGGTGAAGAAGTTTGTGGACAGCCCGCCTAGCTTCCCAGGAGCATTTTAATTCCTGTTTGCGGAAAGGCGTTAGCATGAAAGCTATGAGGTGCAGGCCCCTGTAAGTGGCTGATCAAACCGCAGAGATGTGCAGGGCTGGCACACTCTGGCTAGAGCCTGGTGCTTTGGTATTTCAGAGCCTAACTATGCCGTCTTTCTGGAAAGGAGATAATATGGCTGAGCTTATCCAAGAAATTTTTAAAGCAAATGACAGACTTCTAATACTGGAAAGTAGAATATACAGAAATGAAAGTATATACAAAAAATAATCCAAGTTGTTTTATCACAGTATAGTGATGAGCCCAGTCATGCTATTTGCTAAGATGGCTCAAAGGCAAAGCCTGGCTTTCAATGGAACTATATAAAACTCTGGAGTGACACTGTGTAGCTTTGTAATGCTGCCTTTGAGCCAAACAGAGGAAACAGAGGCCCTTGGTTACCATTAGGAGTCTGATCACCATATGTGATTGCTTATCCCCCATGCTTTTCCTAGCACCTAGCCTGCTAAATCATCGTGTTTTGAAATAGTTCATTGTACGTCCATGAAACAGTGAAGTATATAACTTCTAGAAGTGATTTACTTTATTGATAAGACCTTTGAAAAATTGGGGATAAATTACTCATCCTCTAAAGGAAAATGAACACTTGGAATGAAATTCACCCATTCCCTTCACTTTATAAATAAGATTATAAGCAAGATCCTCACCCTCCAGTTGGGCATGTTCTTCATAATAACCAACTGACTAAATAGAAGGAGAAGACCTTGGGAATAAAGGGAAATGATCAAAGAAAATGAAGCGGTTCCAGAGAGAGAGAAAAAAAAGAACAGATACCTGGTATGACATAAATCACCAGCTACACATGCCAGGGTCTGAATTCCTTTCCCACCTGTTTTTCCTCATGCCATGTGTTTTATATTGAGGCAAAAAAAGGGAATCCTGGCATCATGGGACCATGAGGAGAGAATTAATCATTATCCTAATAATATCTTGGTGTTGGTTGGACAGGTTTTACAGATGCTTCTTAACACCAAAAAAAGGTATTTTTTAACCAAATAGACCTGTACTATTCAATATGGTAGCCATCAGCCACAGTGTTCAGTTTCAATGAAATAAATTAAACAACAGTGTTCAGTTTCTCATTGGCATAAGCTTCGTTTCAAGTGCCAATGCCACATGTGACTAGTAACTACCAATTTGGACAATGCGGAACAGAATATTTCCATCTCCACAGAAAGTTCTATTGGATAGCACTGCTCTCGACTAAATAAAGAAGTATCATCACTGACATTATACTAGCTTCTGTTTATTGAACACTTACTGTGTGCTAGCATGCTTGTCTTTTTCTAAGAAGTAATGAATAAAAAGTAAATGCTCAAATGTTATTTGGGTATAGAAGCCATTCAACCTTATTGGAAAAAAATGTATGTTTTGTGCCTTTGGTTGCTTCGTTTTGTTATTGCTCCAATATAAAATAAGGATTTGGGGGTCATTCTGTAAATCCAGTGTTGAAGTATTTTTTTAGAATATGTAATCCAAAAGAATGTTTCTTAGGCTTTGTTTTAGTTAAAAGCTTTAAAGAGAAATACAATATTATCTTAATCTTCAGCTGCCCCTTGTCCCCCCCAAAAAGTCTCAATGATGAAAATATTTTCTTCTCAGAATAAATGAGTACAGATTTTTTCCCCTAAATTTTGAGCAAGTTCTTTTTTTAAACTTTTTTTGGTATGTAGTTTTATTATACTGTCTACACAACTGTCTATGCTTTGGTACAAAAAAAATGCATTTCATTACGCATATGAAGCACTTAAGAAATCCATTAATTTCTGTACCTTGAATTTAAATGCTCTGGTGAGATTATTTAAAAGAGCAAGAAGAACTTCATAAAGATTCTTTCTGCACGATGGGAATAAAAAATGCACTTAATCCAACCAGTAGATAATGGAACCACAGTTTGCTAGGTACATGTGTACTCGTGCACACGGTTCAAGAAATGTGTGCCAGCCCGTGTGTCCATTTGCTCCGTATGGCTTGCGTCCCGTAGTCACAAACACTGTACTGCCATTTCCCTCATGCTGTTGCTTTTGTTTTCCGTGAAACTTTTCAACAGACCAGAAGTAAATTTGAAGAAATATTCTGGCTGCCTCAAGGATATTGAAATTTCAAGAACTCCATATAATATACTCAGTAGCCCTGATTATGTCGGTGTTACCAAAGGATGTTCACTGGAGGTTAGTTTATTTTTAATGGCTTCCTAAATACTTCCGTCTCTGATTTCATTTACTTAATTTGGGTGCTCTTACAGGGAGCAGTCCCTTGTTAATATATTTTAAATTCCTACTGACCCTTGTCTTAGCAATTCTCAAATAACAAAGCAAGATTGAAGCACTTCTATAAATTACCATAATCACATAAATGTAGGAAATGGTTTGATGAAGACCCAAAATTATGAAGCAATTTCCCATATGTATAATAAATACTTCATAACATGTATTTTTAATATTAATCTCTTCTCCAGTTTCTCTCTTCATTTCCAATACTACTTTTCCCTTTTCCTCATTTTTGTCATCTATTTTAGATTTATCTTTATGGCTTACATATAGCTTTTTAGCAACCTTAATTTTTTTCCACATTTTTTTCACATTCCACATCCATGTTACACAAATAACAAGTAACCATTTACACCATAAACATTAGTGCATAGCATCTTGTCTATAGTTTGAAAGTCAAACCTCCTTTTCTTTGAAAATGACACAGATAAGGAACCATCTACAAAGACCATCTTTGACAAGGATGCGAAGTCCCCTGCTATTGGGTATCTTCAGTATCTTTTCTTTGTTGCCAAAGCACATCCCTTGTTCCATTTAACTCCTCTGCTCTGACTCTTCACTGGGGGCTGACTCATACGAGAAACAAAGGTCCAGCTCTACTCTCTTAAAATGTCTGTAAGCAAGAGTCAACAGTCATCAGGAAATATTAGTAAGAAGTTTATGGGCATCCTGAAAGTAATGAGTTTGTTTTTTAAAAAATGTTAAATATATCATGCTTATAAAATTTTGATTATGCTTATATGACCCCACAATTCATTTTAGCTGTTTTCTCCAACTGGAATGATTTTAAGGCATGGCTATAGAATTCAGGGAAATGAAGGGAGAATCAGGAGAAAGAGAGAGTGAATCCATCCCTGAGACATGAGGTTTAAAGACTGAAAGAGAACGTTCAGGGTCTTCATAGTTAGAGGCTCCAATTTGGAATTAGCCATAGATATCCACCATGAGAAGCTTGGGAATAAGGAATAGGGAGATACAGAATTCAAACTCTAAGTAACCACGCTGGCTTCTTTAAGAAAGTTTTATTGAGAGTTTTAATCTTCCAAAGCCTAACTCTCATCCACATCCAAAAGATAAATATATGAGGATGGAAAACTGTCCAGAAAATGAATGGCCTGTATGTGTGAAAATCATAATTCTGTAAAGGCACTTTTCAGTCACCAGGAGTTATTTTACAACTGAAATATGAGGCAGAAATGATGTGGATAAATATTGAAAAGTCTGCACAGTAGTTTTATCTGAACTATCCAAAAGTCTATGATTTGAAAATTGGAAAAGAAAATAGATGATACATTTTACAACACTTATGTCACTTAACTGGGCCTGAAAGACTGTGTGGGAAAATATCCTGTGTTAGAGGATGCCTTGCTTTTCCTCCAGCAAAATCCAGGACTTTTAAAATGAGCATTTTAAGCACTCAAAATGCCCAACTACATGGGCTTGCTTAACTAAATCCTAGCACATTCATGCAATGGTGTGTCCTCCTGCCTTTAAAAGTGATGATGATTGACTTATTTTGCTCAGCTGGTATGAGGAATTCTTAATCTCAGGAAACAAACGGAGGGTTGCTGGGGTGGTGGGGGGTGGGAGGGATGGGGTGGCTGGGTGATAGACATTGGGGAGGGTATGTGCTATGGTGAGCGCTGTGAAGTGTGCAAGACTGATGAATCACAAATCTGTACCTCTGAAGCAAATAATGCATTATATGTTAAGGAGAAGGAGAAGGAGAAGAAGGGGAATTGGAGGGGGAGACGAACCATGTGAGACCATGGACTCTGAGAAACAAACTGAGGGTTCTAGAGGGCAGGGGGGTGGGAGGATTGGTTAGCCTGGTGATGGGTATTAAAGAGGACATGTTCTGCATGGAGCACTGGGTGTTATATGCAAACAATGACTCATGGAACACTACATCAAAAACTAATGATGTAATGTATGGTGATTAACATAACATAATAAAAAAATAAAATAAAAGTGATGATGAGACTTGTGTTTTCTGAGAGAGATATTTCCCACAGATGCAGTGAAAAAAAGAATTTACAAAAGAATGTGCCTATCAAGATTTAGTTTAGGAGGAGAGAGGAAGAGGGCAAGGTTATGCAAAGTAAATGAATGAATGCATGCATGATGAACAGATGAATGAATGAATGGATGAATGAGAAACGCTATATGCTTCTACACAGCTCTGGCATGGGATGATTTTTGCTTTCTCTCCGTAAACAATTAGTTGATTGAGGGTTTTCAAGGGATTATGAGAGTGTTTTCCAGGGAGATTTAACAAGATAGATTTAGACCAAAAGAAAATGTTATCTGTCAGTGATAATCGTCTATATTTTAAATCAAAAGTGCTCGCTGGGTGGCTCAGTAAGTTGAGTGTCTGACTCTTGGTTTCAGCTCAGGTCATGATCTCAGGGTCCTGGGATCAAGCCCCACATCAAGCCCTGCATCAAGACCTATGTTGGGCTCTATGCTCAGTGGGGAGTCTGCTTAGTGGGGAGGGTTCTCTCCCTCTCCCTCCACCCCTCCCCCTGCTCGCTCGCTCTCTCTAAAATAAATAAATCTTAAAAAAAGCAGAGGCCAGAATTTTTATTTTAACCCAGACTGCTCAGAAAGTTCAGTCACACCTAGAAATAGTATTTCTTCAGTTGCTCCCAAGCTCTCTATATAGCTGTAAGTTTCATATTTTCTAAAACAATGTATTTCATGGTGACACTGAGTGCCTGGAGGAGGCTGAGTGAGACAGAGAAATTAATTTAAATTTTAATTTCTGATGCTTTCTTCTCTTTTTCCCTTTTACCCACAGAACGTTTACACAGTCAGCTTCCCCAAGCCTGGTTTCATAGAGCTGCCCCCTGTGCCAGTTGATGTAGGGACAGAAATCAACCTGTCCTTCAGCACCAAGAATGAGTCTGGGATCATTCTCTTGGGAAGTGGAGGGACACCAACACAACCTCGGAGGAAACGAAGGCAAACTGGACAGGTACCCTCATACCTGGTTGACAGTGCATTTTCCCTAGTGCTTATATAAAACATTTTATAAGGAGACTGGTGAGACATTTAGGTTTTATAAATTGCCTTTGTATTTTTAGATTTGCATCGTTTATTTCCACTCTCATCTTTTTTAGGACAGTTATCTGCTCGAGGATTTTCCTTGTTGGTCAGCTCTAGGTGCATGGACACTTGTATTTGCACCTGTATTTCATACGGGCTTAGCATATGTATGTTTAAAGAGAGAAAGCTTCAAATATATTCAAATTATAATAATCTTCTCTTGTCTTGAAGTCCAATTACTTACCGCATCTATAAATATCTTGCTAGGGTCCCTTAAATTCAAATTTAAATTCCTTCTAGGATCAGTTTCCCAGTTTTGCTAGCCAACATGATGCAGTCTATTGAAGTCTGACCCCCTCCAGCCTCTCTGGACACAGAAAAGGCAGAGAATGGACCTGGGATAGAAGAAGGCAAATAGAGCCCAACCCACACAAGCAAAGACAGTAGCCTATGCTCAGGTTCACTCATGACATGAAGAGAAAGCCCACAGAGTAAGGTGTGAACTCAATTTTCATACCCCATAGCCATTTGATTCTGTTAAAAGTGATCTCTTAGGCATCATAACCCTTTACTGCCTTGATATTCCTCCAGCACTTTTGATCTTATGTTTTTAAATATATGCGTTTTTCCACTTAATCTTGTTTTTCTCAGTGAAAGAGTTCATAGGAATTATCTAGTCTGCCATTACCAAAGAATGGAATGCTTTACAAATATGTCCTTAAATATGCATGCATCCTTATAAACCAGGTTGTGTTGTTTGTGATTTTATGTGTTTTTAAAATCACATTTATCCTTTAAAATTGAGTAGTCAGTAATATGGTTGACCCTTCAACAATATGGGAGTTAGGGACACCAACACCCCCTCAGTCAAAAATCCACATATAGCTCTTGACTCCCCAGTGACTTAACCACAAATAGCCTAGTATTGACTGGAAGACTTGCCCATAATATAATCACTAGATTAACACATATTTTGTATGTTATATGTATTATACAGTGTATTGTACACTGTATTCTAAAAGTAAGCTTGGGAAAAGAAAATGTTATTAACAACATCATAAGAAAGAGACATACATTTACAGTACCATACCGTATGTATCTAAAAAAAAAAAATCCACATATAAGTGGATCCACACAGTTCAAAGCCATGTTATCCAAAGTTTTATATAATAAATCTTATTCTTTGCCCCCCAAAATTAAAGACTAAACAAAATAAATTCAAAGATGTATAACCATGAGTAACTTGGGTTATCTCAGGAATACAAGAGTATTTCAATATCAGAAAATCTAAAAACTATATAAACATCTCAGTAGATGCTTAGAAACCATTTGGCAAAATTTAATACTCATTCCTGATTTAAAACAAACAAGCAAACAATCCAACATAACAATATGGATGGATATTGGAAACTGAAGAGAAATGAAAAAAATGTATGACATACTGTATGATATCATTTTTACAGATTTCTAATACAAGTAACACTAAACATAGGAGCTACTGGCTGGCTCAGTTGGTAGACCATGCAACTCTTAATCTCAGGGTTGTAAGTTTGAGCCCCACATTGGGTGTAGAGATTACTTGAAAATAAAATCTTTAAAAAAAAGTAACACTAAGCAACATATTGTTTACAGATATATATGTGAGTTTCCAGAAATAATTTTTAAAAAGCAAGGGAATGATAAACATAAAATCCATGTTAGTGGTTACCTCTGAGACGGTGAAGCTGGGGGATGGTGTTTGGAGGAAACTCACAGGAGATGCAATGGATTGTTTCTTAAATGGGGTGTAGTTTTACTGGTATTCATTTAATTGTATAGTTGGGAACATGGCTTCATGTCTCTTATATTTTGAGGAATGTATCAAATAGTCATAATAAAAATATTCTTTAAAGAAGAGAGGGAGGAAAAAGTGTTATTTTCTCTCATTTCTTACTGCACATAATAAGCACTGAATACATATAATATTTAAATTTCCTCTTAAATTCCTTCTCTTTTAATCCTGAAAAATGAAATTATTTTCTCACTATTACAAATGATGAGCTAGTTATAATAAAAGGGCCAGATCAAACATTCTGAAGTAGATTTTCACTAAAGAATATGTGTTTCCTAGGTCACTGTCAGATAATTAAGCACCACCTACTGGCTCCAAATTTCTCCTCATCAAGGCTAAGTAAATGGACTTAAATCACCAGCTTTCAGGATTGTTCGTAAAATAGAAACTGTGCCCATTAAAACAATTAAAAAGAAAATATTAAGTACTATAATGCAAAGTAAATTGGAAATAATATGTTAATGTTTCAACATTTTATTGATAATAAATATTCATTTTTTAAAAATCTCATAGTAAGTGCTATTTGAAAGAGGAAACAATGTTAAATGGTTCCAGTCGGTTATAGAATCAGTGCTGGTTATGTTGACATATTTTCTTTTCCAAAGCTAACGTTTTGATGCCATTGGGTTATTTGTGATTCTGTTCTGCTAAAGGAGTTTGTTTGTTACCTCGAACAATCAATCCAGCTGAGAAAATTTTAATTGAGTGAGTAGTTTGCAGTTGCCCCTTTGGTGAATGGTGAGCACTAGTCCAGGTCCTCTGGACCTTCTGTGTTGGACACACAGCTGCCTAGACAATTCAGTAGATCATCGGAGACATTTTGATGTTTGATTGAAACCGTCTCCACCACCTCCGGTGACTCGTGGAGGACCGAGTGATCATCGTGTAGCAGGCGCCCTCACGTTCCACAAGAAAGGGAGCACGCGTGGCTTCGGCTTTGGGGACTAGCACTGCACTCAGGCTCCCTGGGGTTCATAATCTGATCTCAAAACCATACTGGTTGCTATAGTAACAGTAGCAAGAAGAAAGCAGTCATGTTTGTGGATGAAAAATTGTCTTCCTTCTTTCTAAATGTGGGAGACAGGTTACATGTTGGTGATAGCAATCTATTCGACCAGCTCAGAGAACATATTGAAGGCTAATCACTCAAAATGCCATGAGATTGGGAGTCAGATCTGATGTCCAGAAGCTAGCTGTCCACTTGTGAATATAAGGAAGGAACCCTTTGTTTCCTGATGGGTTTTGCGAGTTAGAGACCCCAGTGCAAGCACAGCTGTTCCCTTCAGCGTGGCAGATTTGCTTTGCAGAGACTGCTGTATTACTACATCCACTTTCCACATCATCTAACGAGTAACAATGGTCAATGATTAAAAACCTATTCTCAGCTGCTTTAAACACTCTAAGAAAATACTGAGTCTTAAGGGCTCAGGTAAGATCTCCGAGCCAAGGAATCTGCAGTTCTGTCCGGGAACCTCTAAGGCTGTCATAGTTGAGACCCCTCTTTAATCTTCCATGACCACTTGCTCTTGCAGGCCTATTATGCAATATTCCTGAACAAGGGACGTCTGGAAGTGCATCTCTCCATGGGCACAAGAACAATGAGGAAAATCATCATCAAACCAGAGCCAAGTCTGTTTCACGACGGGAGAGAACATTCCGTTCACGTCGAGAGAGCTAAAGGGTAACAATAGCTCTAGACAATTTCTCGTAACTAATGTCAACTCCCCTGCTCACATGACCCTCTGGACCTTTGTATGTGTGGTCAAACAATGCATTGCAAAACTGTCAAGTAGCTTAAGTTCATCTTCTTGACATTTCATGTTTCTGGGAACCTCATGTCCCTTGGCCCCTGGGAATTCTCTTCACGTTTTTATTCTGTGCAGTTCGCCACTCTCGCTTTGGAAAAACCGAATGCCTCTTCTGAAGCTATAGATAAGAAAAATCCCTCCCTCCCCCTGCACCTCTCCAATATCCTCCTCTCAGTAAGGTAGGCACAGAGAGAAGCACACAGAAGAGCTCAGCTGGACCCCACAGCCTTTGGTGGCGGGTCTTTCATTCAGGTCCCAAAGCTGAGAAACCTGTCACAGACCCGGAGTGCGGCTGCCGTGGCAGGACCTCCTGAGAGCTGCTAAGTGCCTGCCTCATCCCTGCACCCCCTCGCTGCCCAAGGGGTGCGGGGGTCCCTGTAGAGTGGCTTCAGGAGGGAACAGAGCCCAAGGGAAAGACTGGAAAAGGCTGCTGTCCACCCATCAGTGCATTGAGGTTGCCTCTCTGAGGGTCCGAAAGAGCACTTGCTTCCCAGCCCTGAGTCACAAAACTGGCAGTGACCACGTTATAAACCGATCTCTCATTTCTCCAGAATGCTGGGGTACTTGGTATTTCCTTTACTGGGAAAGTCGTCTGTATTTTCATCAAAATGTTGTATGACAACTCAGGTAATTCGTTTAGAAGGACAGTTAGAGAAAAGGAAACCAGAAGCCCCGAGACTTCAGACATCCAAGCCAGCAAGCCATTTAATTAGACTTAAGACATAGAAAAGACCTGGAAATCAAATGTGAGGAAACCTCAAGACACAGAGGTTATTTTTTAAAAAAACAACAGTAGGAATGTGTAGCAATAGTTCAAGTGAGCAGATGCTATTCTATACAGACCTATATTTTCTAATTATCCCCTCGTGTGTAAAACAGTTTAGATAAGTAACAAGAATCTTTTATCTTCCAAGTAATGATAAAGCTTTCCTTGGCTTTTTTTTTTTTTATTGTTATATAGAGCATTAGGTTGTGGGCTGAACTGATACTAAGCATCCTTGCAGAATATCTACTAAGTGAGATGTTTAGAAACCATGATTAAGACAAATGAGGGCTCGATATTTGGACAAACTAAGAACTTTTTCTAACCTAATAGCCAGATATTGTGGTCATGGTCTCTGAGGAGGATTACAAACTGAATTTTCTCATTTGAATCTTACAGACAGCTCTAAAATATTGTTTTACATATCTCCCAGACTAGATTTCAGGTTCTTTGTCAAACATTAATCCTTTCCATTGTCGGAAGGACTTTTTAACATCTTTAAAATTTAGAGAATTTCAATAAACAAGTGCAGATTTGAGAAATACAGTTGATAAAAAAAAATCATCCGGAATTTGTTATTTTGTAGAGAAAAGATTCTGACGTTCCCCAGTGCATTATGATGTTGCGCTAAGGTGTCCTTTTAACAGGTGTCTCTTCAGGAAGGGCATTTTATTATGCCAACTTCACAGCTGTTGGCCATTAATCCAGACTTTATTTGATTAAGTTCAGTGTATAGTACATCACTGAAAACTGGTCATTCAGTTAATTGGCCATATAAACAAACAGTTTTGCCATTCGCTGTTAATTAAAGGATAATGTATTCGACATATTAGTGGGTAGTCACTGAACTCTGTGGCAAAGCAAGAACACATTTGCTACCATCATGTCTCTTTCAGCGCTCTAAGGTCAAACACAATCATCACCTATCCTTTAAGCAAGTGCTTCAATTACCTGATTAACCAGAGATCGCTAATGACCCTAAAAACTTTACCTAGAAACATTTTTTAATGCTTTGTACCTATTCTATGGCACACGCTGTGTCAAATACTAGACACTTTTAACACCTCCAACTGTGCTCACCAACTTTTTTCTTACCCTTTTGTGTGACCTCAAAGATTGTATTATTTCATGTTGATTATGATACTCTTGTTAATTTGGAAATATTTGCTTTCTCCCAACACTATTCAGATCACAAGTGTCAATTATCGCTTCTTTTCCTAAAGCCCTGGATAAGATGGTGATTTTAATACCAACTTACAAAATTATTGAATTTTTATCAAACTGAGAGGCAAACTTTTCAAGATTGTTCTTGCCTTATTCTCTCCCCCTCTGCCTCTCTTTACACTTCCTCCCTCAACCTCGCTCCTTTTCTACCCCTTCCCCTGAAAAAATCTCACTTAAGTCACTTTGGTGTCTAATTCTGTGGTCCAGTGGTCCAGTGATCCCTGCCTTCTATAGTTGTTTTGCCCTCTAACCCTTTTCCTGAACTCCACCTAAGGGGTCAGTTGTTCTGACTGGACAAAGGCATTCAACCCTATGAGTCTGGAGTAGATGCATAGGCAAGTAGTTTTCTCCTCTGTGAGAGCATTCTTCATACAGGTATAGAATTAGTCTGAAGACCACCAAAGTTAGATCAAATATTTCAGGAATAATCTGGGATTTCCAGAATGGTGATCGTGATGTGGACACTGCAACCCAAATATTTCTTACCATCCAAAATATATTCAATCAAAATAAAATTGCAGGGGCCCCTGGGTGGCTTAGTCGGTTAAGCATCTGAGTCTTGATTTCAGCTCAGGTCATGATCTCAAGGTCATGAGATGGAGCCCTGTGTTGGACTCCATGCTCAGTGGGGAGTCTGCTTGGGATTCTCTCTTTCCCTTTCCCTCTCCCTCTGCTCCTCCTCCCCCACCCTTAATGCAAGTATGCTGGGACTCATGTGTGCATGCTCTCTCTCTCTCTCAAATAAATAAATCTTTTTAAAAAATAAATAAAATTGCAGACGTTGTCCTTCATGTAAATTACAAATGTCAGGGCACCTACGTCTCTTAATATCTTCTTGCACATATATAACCCATTTGGCAGTCGTTTGAAAACAAAAGCTTAGACTAATATTCCAAACAAACAAGAAACAGAATATTAGTAACGAAATGTCTAATTATGAAACTCTAAGAATCAACTGTTGAACTTGTAAGAAAATACAGCTAACCTGTCATAATACTAATAGTAATGTTTATTATAGTGCTTTTTGCATATAATAGGTCCTCAGTAAAGAATTACTTAAAAAAGAGGAAATACACCAGAATCATAATGGAAGTGGTAATGTTCCTCTTTACAAAAGAACTAAATACGTGATCTAGTTTGGTGCTCCTAGAATGTAAAATACAAGCAGGATTTAGCTAGTCTTCTAGCGATGCCCTTATTAAGTAATACAGCTTCAGTACAATCCCTTAATTAATGTTTTCCATAGCTTAAAGTAGGTATTTTTATCCTCATTTTATAAATGAATGAAGTGAGACTGAGCAAGATTAAATAACTGGCCCAGGTCACACAGTAAGCTTCTACACTAATATTTAATTCCAGTCTGTTCCTTCTGAATGCTCATGCTCATTCTCTATCTCCACCCTGTGATCTAGTAAGAAAGGACCACTATAATGGTCCTTGGGGCAGAACCAGATCAGACAGTCTACAATCAGAAACCTGAGGGCCTCTGGCTCTCTGAAACTCTAACCAAGAGCAGAGATTTGCTCTCCTTGGACAATCTTTAATAGTGGCTTAAACCCCTCATTAAAACTCTTAGGAACATTGCTATGTCATGTTAGTAAGAGGTTGCTTTTAGGAAAAGAAAAAAAAAAAAGGTGTGGGGGAGTGGGGGGGCTTCTCAGTGAGTCACACATGCCCAGCAATGAGTGTTTTTCTGAAAGTCTCATAAAACCACCAGCATTCTTAGCAATAATGTTGAACCTCCTGATTTTTGCCAACACACTCTTCCAGAGTCTGGTAAAAAACCAATACGTCATTTCCCCCCATGTTTCCTTTGAAAATAAATCCAACCTGCTCCCTTTCCACCCCTTGAACCAATGACATTTTGAGCACCAATGAAATCCAATTGTTTTTTCATTCTCTTACATCTGAACTGTCTCAAAGTGGACCAGTTGCTCAGGACCATTTCAGAGTCTCTTTGCCCTGGTTTATTATTTCTAGTTCCACATGTGGTTTTTATTCTTCATAAAATCAAGTAAGATGACATTTTAGGACTGAGTTTTCCATCTAAGTACTTTGGTTTTCTCCCCAGATATGTAGTAAGTTTTTAGTAATCCATTCGTGATCCTCAGGCTAGTGACTAATACTAATAGTCTCATGCTCCCTGTTTGGGACTAAAATTCAAAACCTGCTTCTAGAACAAAAGAAAAAAATGCCTTTGGTCATTTTTGTCATCAGAACTCTTGTCTCCTTTGATTCTTTGCCCCAGGATCCAGGGATTGTTGTGAATAAGTAGCATGAGGTTCTCAATAGTGTGTGAGTTCTCTCTCATAAGCAAATTAGGGAAATTAATGAAACAGTCACTAAGGAAAATCATTGCCAGGAACAATTAGCATGATGTCCTTGCCTGCCTCTTCTATTCAAAAGCTAGCAGCTGGGGCATCTGGGTGGCTCAGTTGGTTAAGTCTGCCTTCAGCTCAGGTCTTGATCCCAGCGTCCTGGGATCAGCCCTGCTTCCGGCTCCCTGCTCAGCAGGGAGTCTACTTCTCCCTCTACCTCTGCTCCTCCCCTTGCTCCTGCGCTCTGGCATGCTCTCCCTCTCGCTCTTTCTCATTCTCAAATAAATAAATCTTTAAAAAAATTTTAAAAAGCTAGCAGCTATGTTCTTTATAAAATGCCCTGTAAGTGTTCGCTGTCGAGTCCTGCAATCCAAACTCTCAGGAGCAGAGTTTGTCCCCCAGCAAGAAGATAATAGCTAGCACAAACCAAGAAATAAAGAACAGAACAGCATGTGCCGTGCTAAACCCACTGAGCCTTTTGCGATTAGACATAAGCACACTGTACGGAAGCCTCAGCTCTACAGACTTCTGTGTCGGGCCGCTGTTGTCAACAGCACCAAAGGCTAGGCTTGTAGCCCCACCATCACCACCTTTCAGTCAACTCTCAGGGAGAGCTAACCAGGGAGGCAGAGGGAGACAAGATCCTGAGAAGCAGTATCATTAGCTTAGTGTAGAATTCCTCACTATCAAATGTTGGCTCCCTTAAAAGCTCCTGGAGGAAGGGGAGAGGGGTAGCAGGAAAAGAGTTTGATTTTCCAACTATACTGGATGTTATGTGCTTAATACTGCTTATTTTCACTGTTTTATCAGCATCTTTATTGTTCAAGTCGATGAAGACAGAAGCCATATGCAAAACCTGACAGTAGAACAGGCAATCCAAGTTAAAAAGCTTTTCGTTGGGGGTGCTCCACCTGAATTTCAGCCTCCGCCTCTCAGAAATATTCCTCCTTTTGAAGGCTGTGTATGGAACCTTGTTATAAACTCTGTGTAAGTACATCTGCTGGCTACCTTTTTTTTTTTTTTTGTATGGGGATCACTCTACACTCTATCTAAAACCAAGGCAGGGTGGGCAGACAGGAAACAATGCAGAGCTTCTCATTAGATTTTTTTAAAAATTGCACTGATGGCCTTTCGAAGGGGGAGGGAGAATTTAATTGTAAGGCAGCGAGACAATGAAAAATGATAAAAGTACTTGATTTTAATTCTTTTCCACTAGCCCCATGGACTTTGCACAGCCTGTATCCTTCAAAAATGCGGACATTGGTCGTTGCGCCCATCAGAAGCCCCCTGGGGATGAAGATGGAGCAGTTCCAGCTGAACTAGTGACCCAGCAGGAGCCAGTCCCCACCCCTGCCTTCCCCACACCCACCCCAATTGTGGCACATGTAAGTGTTTATATTCTAATGCTTTCTCATTTTTAATTGTTTTCAGAGAGAAGATAATTCAGGATAGCTAGTATGCTCTACTCCTAGAATTAGAGGGAGGGTAATTGATCCTTACATCTTTCCTGGATCACTTTTACTTATATATCTGTTCTGCTTTAATTTTCTTCCTTATAAAATGGCATGTGTTTTCAGTTGAAAAGTTAGCATAGCCAAGAAACGTCTACAGAATCAAAAACGAGATCCACCTATCATATCACCACACAGAGGCAACCATATTAATTTTCAGTCCCTTTTATTTGCATTTTAAATAGTAGATCTCATATCATGTATATCATTTGGTATTCTGTTTTTTAAAACTGGTAATACATAATTAAACATCAAATGTGTATGTCTGATTATGATACTGACAGGCCATATCCATGGACCCAGAGAGGGTCTCACAGGACCAGCCAAGAAGGTCCTTGGCTTCTCGCGGGATGGAAATCAAACATGAGCCCACAGGAAGTGAGAGCAGAGTTTTTTGGAGATACAGAGAGAGCAGATATATTCGGAGGATCTGGGAGACTCAAAAAGGAAAGGAGTATGAGTCCCGTCTTTGTTCGGGCCTGGGGGGGTTTTATTGAGAATTGTGGTCCAGTGTACATGTCCTGTCCTCTCAGGCATCTAGGAATTGGTTAGAACAAACACGAGGGCCCAGGTGTTTTTCCTTGGAGCCAGGGGGCCTTGGTGTCAAGATGTCTAGGCTGATGATCTGGAATACACATATGATAGCTTTGTCTGGTCATTCTCACCTGGTCCTTCCTTAAATGTTATCTATTCTAAAGAAATCATTAACTCTTTGTCCCTTCCAAGGAGGACATACACTGTTTGCATTCTGAGGTGTGTGCAAAGTGGGGCACAGGTCCTAGCGAGAAGAGAGGAGCAGAGGAGCAAAAAAGAGCAAAAAGCAGATCTTTTATGGAGTCCTTCAGTTTCCCTATCTCAATTACGTGTGTGTGAGAGAGAGAGAAAGACACACACACACACACACACACACACACACACATATAAAGAGACACACAGAATATTTCATTGTACGGGAGGTAATCATTTCATTGATTGGAGCATGGGTCCCTGAGTGGACGGTCTGGGTTGCAATGCCTACAGTCCAGTCTACCATGTGTATGAATTTGGGAAAGCTATTTCACCAGTCTATTCCTCAATTTCCTCATCTGTGCAATATTAATGACACATGAGTCTAAGAGTTAACGTGAGGACTTAAAACAATAATGTTTGTTAAATGCCTAGTATATACTAAACATTTAATAAATGGCATAATTACCATATAGTAATGATCATAATGACTGCTTCTAAGTGCTTACTATGTGCCAACCACTGCCTAAACAATTTCTATTCAACATGATATGTGATTTTCATAATGGCTCTGTAAACGATATGTCATCCCATCTTTAATTGAGTTGATAAGAATTATCTAGCCTCAGTCACCCACCTACAAACACAGCCAGTAAATGGCAGGATAGGAATTTTAATCCAGTAGGTCTGACCATACAGCCTGGCTCCTTATCACTGCAACACTCTGTCTTTACAATTTATTCTACTTTTTCCTCAATTGTGGGCCATTTAGAGTGCTTTTAGTTTTTCACTATTAGAAACTATATTCTGATGAGTGCTTCTCTATACCAAACTTTCTCTTTGTTTATTTTCTTCAAATAGATTCTTAGATGGATAATTATAAGATTAAATGATGACTATACCTAAGGTTCTCAAAACATATATCTGAATTACTTTTTCCAAAGGTTCCATCAATTTACATTCTCACCACCAATATATCCAAGAGGGTGGATCTTACTATACTCTGACAGCACATGCATCATATTTATCATGCTTGCCAATTGATGGGCGGAACATGCCCTCTTGAGCACAGATTTTGAAAACTCTTGAACATTTCATTTTCTTCCTTAGTTTCCATGATGGAACTGGTTGTTCTGTAGAGCAGTCTGCTCCTCATCACTAGAAATAATTTAGCTTATGTCTTCTCTAGCATTCCTTCCAGGATTTGAAAATAGCTAAGTCCTTACACTTGTGATGAGCATAGCATAACATATAGACTTATCGAATCAACTATGCTGTACACCTGAAACTAATGTGACATTGTGTGTCAATGATACTTCAGTTAAAAAAGAAAAAGAAAAAAATAGCAAAGTCTTTCCCCCCAGGGTAAATAGTCAATAATCTCAAGCATTCTTCATGTGACCTAATTTCTTTTTAAAAAAATTTTTTTAATTTATTTTATTTTTATTTTCTTATTGAAGTATAATTGACCTACATTATATTAGTTTCAGGTGTGCAATGTAATAATTCGGTATTCATATATTGCAAAATGATCACCACAACAAGTCTAGTTAACATACATCAAAGTACATAGTTACAGAATTTTTAAAAATCAGAACATTCTTTTTTTTTTATGTTATGTTCATCACCATACATTACATCATTAGTTTTTGATGTAGTGTTCCATGATTCATTGTTTGCATATAACACCCAGTGCTCCATTCAATACGTGCCCTCTTTAATACCCATCACCAGACTAACCCATCCCCCCATGCTCCTCCCTTCTAGAACCCTCAGTTTGTTTCTCAGAGTCCATAGTCTCTCATGGTTCGTCTCCCCCTTCAATTTCCCCCCCTTCATTTTTCCCTTCCTACTATCTTCTTCTTTTTTTTAACATATAATGTATTGTTTCAGAGGTACAGGTCTGTGATTACACAGTCTTACAAAATTCACAGCGCTCACCATAGCACATACCCTCCCCAATGTCTATCACCCAGCCATCTCATGCTTCCCACCCCCCCACCACTTCAGCAATCCTCAGTTTCCTGAGATTAAGAATTCCTCATATTAGTGAGATCATATGATACATGTCTTTCTCTGATTGACTTATTTCACTCAGCATAATACCCTCCAGTTCCATCCACATCATTGCAAATGGCAAGATTTCATTCCTTTTGATGGCTGTATAATATTCCATTGTGGTGTGTGTGTGTGTGTGTGTGTGTGTGTGTGTGTGTGTGTGTACCACATCTTCTTTATCCATTCATCTGTTGGTGGACATCTTGGCTCTTTCCATAGTTTGGCTTTGGCTATTGTGGACATTGCTGCTATAAACATCGGGGTGCACATACCCCTTTGGATCACTACATTTGTATCTTTGGGGTAAATATCCAGTGGTGCAATTGCTGGGTTGTACGGTAACTCTATTTTCAACTTTTTGAGGAACCTCCATATTGTTTTTTTAAAGATTTTATTTGATTTATTTTATTTATTTGAGAGAGAGAGAGCGCGTGTGCAAGAGAAAGAGAGAGAGAGTGCAAGAGAGCAAGCATGAGCAGGGGGAGTAGCAGATGGAGAGGGAAAAGCAGACTGCCTGCTGAGCAGGGAGCCCAATGTGCGACTCTATTGGAGGACCCTGGGATCTTGACCTGAGCCGAACGCAGACGCTTAACCAACTGAGCCACCCAGGCACCCAATATTTTATTTTTTTTTAAGATTTTATTTATTTGAGAAAGAGAGAGAGAGAGAGCACGGGGGGTGGGGGTAGGGGGAGAGGGAGAAGCAGACTCCCTGCTGAGCACGAAGCCCAGCATGGGGCTCGATCCCAGGACCCTGAGATCATGACCTGAGTTGGAAGCAGATGCTTAACTGACTGAGCCACCCAGGCACCCCCTCATGTGACCTAATTTCTAATTCCCATAGTTCCACTGATAAATATTCTTAAGTTTGAAATATCCCTTTCAAAATGTGGCACCTAGAAAAGACCATATTACTCAAAGTGCCCAGTTCAGGGGACAGCAGTACCTCTCATTACTTTGGTCTGTCCTTATATTTTACACCTGAGAATACTTTAATGTTTTAAACCGACAGATCTCACTATTAGCTCATCATCAGGTCCCCTATTCAGTCAACCACAATCTTGGGGGTCTTTGTATGACTTGAACTTCTCTTGCATCAGGTGTCTCAGCCAGCCAGTCCTGACTTGGTACAGTTAACTGGTGGAGAGGCCTGCTGGTCCCCAGTGATTGCCTTTCTTTTATAAGTGCCCACACAAACTTTGTTTTATAGGGAGTGTCAAGCATTTCCCTCCATGGTTTCTCGAGATCACATTTTTTTCCCTTTTTCTGAAAATAAAGATACTTTCCCATCTGGGACTGGAGATTTTAACTCATTTAAGTTTTCTTGTAACCTTCTGTTCTAATTCCAATTTCCATTTTCTCTCAGCAGTGTATGTTTTAACTTTTCCAAAACAGAGCATCCCACTTAGACAAGACAAAAGCAAAAGAGAAGTTGAGTGGCAGTCCTGTGGGCTGGTGTACAAAGACTCACAGAACATCAGAGCTAGAAGAGACCTTAAAGATTCTGACTCTTAATTTACACATTGGAAAACAAAGCCCTAGAACATACCTCATGGCCTGTGATCACACACATTATTGATAGTTGGCACTAAAACCCAGGTATCTAAATTCCAACAGCTATCTCCCCTTCTCTTGCACTTTATAATTGTTTATGCTATGTGGGCATAATTACATTTCTTAGAATTTCCATCCCTATTGAGTTATATTTCTACAGTTTCAGATCATGGAACTATACATATCTTTTAATTTGATTTCTTTTATTTTCGTTCTTTGTGTGGAGAGAAGTGTCTGCTTTTTAAAGGTGACTAAAAGTTAGAGGTTTGACAATTTATAACATAATCTGTTAAGAGCCTACTAAATGCAAAAATGAATACGATATCACCATTGCTAACAAGGGAGAGACAGAGAAGCAGATCTGAGAAATCAGACATTAATATAAATGACAGAGTGAGCGAGTATGGGTGGAGGTCAGTTGGGATAAGTGTGGAGTGTGGGCTACAAACACAAACTGCTAGTTTTCAAGATTGAAAATTGGAAACATGGTAGGGTGTCCCATTAAATGCCATCCAAACAAAATGATTAGTGGTTTCT